AGTACAGGAGGAAAAAACAGATAAATCAAAATTCTAAAAGAGGACCGCTTGACATCTATCAAATAAATAAAAAAATTAAATAAACAAAAAGAAAATGTTTTGTTTGAGTAAAATATTAATCTTAAGAAAAAAGTGGAAAGAAAATAAGAAAGACGATAAATTGTAAATTTGAACTACGGAGTAAAAGATAAGCGAGATTTTTAGTCATTAATATTAGACACAATTAAATCCACGTATCAAGAAAATAGTGGAAGGACATTCATACCCTTTTAAATAAAAATGCATGTGAGAAAAACCTCTTATGGGGTATGGAAGAAACATGAATTGCCTTAAGGTTAATGGCTTTATGGTTGGAAGAAAAAATAATGAATTACGCTTAAATCGTATGAGTTTGATTTTAATATTAATTTTTTTGAATATCAACTTCGGATTTTTGTAGACATTCGAAACTTTTATATCCAGTTAATAAATTCTTTTTAAATATTCAATCTAAAATATCCAAAAATTATAATATCGGATCAAATATCCATTTTTGAAATGAATGTATTACCAGTATTACAAACTAAAACATAGGAATTACTCTGCATACTATACTATTGACCTCCTAGATTCACAATAGGAGACTAGGATGTAAGATTATAAAAAAATAGCAACATTGCTAGATAAGACATTATGGGCACAGCAAATGAGACGGTTTAACTTGATGATGCCCATGCCTTGTCTTTGTGTTAATTCACCTGAAGGCAATTAAGGCGGGTGAATGTCTCATCCGCTCGGAGATCGAGGAGAGGAGAGATTGCAGTGGTGTAGGCCAATCGTGACCACCATACAATTCACCTAACTTGATAAATCTTATACCATTTAATCCAACTAACATCTAAAAAATTCTACAACACACAATCAACCTAACTCAATACATCTACCTAATAAAATATCTCACCTAACATAATAATTTTATTAAACAAAAATATCTCACCTAATATAATAAAAATCCTGCACCTAACTCATATTATCTACTATATATTTAGGACTTACTCTCACACTCTTACCATAGAATTCACCTAAGTCGATAAATCTTATGCCATTCAATCCAACTAACACCTAAAAAATTCTACACCACACAATCAACCTAACTCAATACATCTACCTAATAAAATATCTCACCTAACATAATAATTTTATCAAACAAAAATATCTCACCTAATATAATAAAAATCATGCACCTAACTCATATTATCTACTATATATTTAGGAGTTACTCTCACACTCTTACCATTTAAAAATTATACTTTCAAATATATACTCACTGCTTTTCTTTACATTCTCAAAAAATGGCATCTGATGGCAATTTTATCATTCTAACCTATTGGAATGGTGAGCTAAAAATTGAAAACAATGAAGTAGATTACTCATTGCATTCAAACAAAGCTATTGTGTTTGATCTTGATGTCTCATTCGATGAGTTCTTCAATGAACTCCTCGATGCCATTGCCGATGATAATCTCAATTCAATCAAGAAAATTTGGGGAAATGTCCCAAATACAAGGATGGAGTGTATGCTGCATCACGTCCTTTCCCAATTTCTGACGAGCGAACATGGAGGTGTTTCGTTCAAAAGGCAACCAAGCAATACGATGAACTTGAAGTGTACCTAGAGGCACTATATATTGAGGACCAGGTTCACGTGTCACCTTTCGGGGAAAAAACCACATTAGCTAGCTACTTAGGATATCTCACTTCCCGAATGTGGACAGAACTAAGGACGTCTTTAACCTCTTTCCACACAAAGTCCCAGCGGTCGCTGGCCAGGTCCCGCTTCTTCTGCCTAATTGATTTCGATCCATCCCTCACAATTAGCTGGTGGCAAATGATGGATCGATCAATCTGAAGCATATCTACTATGCTTCAGGAAAGATACCCGTGTACTCTCGGAACAACCTAGGTACTTTCTTCTCGCAGATCCCGAGGCAGATTCGCGCCAATTCACACCATCTTTCTTGAGTCACCTGGGTGGAGTTCAATCTCCACAAATTTAGCTTTTGGCTCAATCCTCTCGCGGGTTTCACCCTTCATTATATCTTGTGAGATAACGTTGACGCATTTTTTTTCACCTTTTTCACCGCCCGAGCATAGCATTCACATGCGTTTCTTTGATCTCCCCAGACTTCAGCCACACCACTCGGGGTGCAGAATTTCATGCATAGGTGGGTCATGGAGATAACGGCTCGGACTTGGTTGATGCCCGGTCTCCCGTGTATGACGTTATGGAAACATTTGATATCCACATTGATAAATGACATCTTCTTCCACTTGTTGTTCTCCCCCCTTTGCTAATTTGGCCGGTAGGACAATTGATCTTTCTGCTTAAACTTTCTCCCCCCTTTTCAAAGGTTCGAGTTATTTCCAACACAACTTGAGCTTCTAGAAGGTTTCGAGATAAAGGATGTCGACACTACTGCCGGTGTCAATCAACACCCAGAGACATCCACCCCGTGAATGTCCATGGTGATAACCAGGGGATCATTATGGCCCTCACCGATGGTTGGACGATCCCAATCTGTGAAGATGATCAGCTCTCTCATGGTCTGCATTCTATTAACTGGGTCCGCGCTCACTTCACCAACGTATATGCTACTGACCCTATTTTTGCAGGGGAGTCTCTGCCCTCTGGCCCGCCAAAGATAATCTCAATATGCTCCTTATCGGGGGCTGGTATCCTCTCTGCATTGCGGTCCCCCCCTTCTTTTTTCTCTAGAGCGGTCATCTTTCAACGCTTCGGGTCGAATCCATTAATGGTTTTTCTCCTGCGCCTTATGGAGGTACTCCTTATCTAGCTCCCCATTGCCAATCATCTACCGGATTGCAGCCTTAACGCTTTTCGAATCAGATGTTTTGTGGGAATTAGACTTATGGTATGAGCTGAACATCAATGTAGAGGCTCCTACAATGCTTTTCAAAAATTTCAAACACGGCTTAACAGCGATGTACAAAGTCCAACATCGCTGTTGGAGGACTTAGTGATAAACCATGGTTTTTAGGTGCCAACACCAAACAGCTCTGTTGGCAAGTCCAGCATTGCTCTTAGGCTGTTTTTCGAGAACTATGGCTAGCCACTCAATGCCGAAAGCCGATGTCAAAAATCAAAGTTCTCAAATTTAAAAACCAAGTGTTGAAAAACACTTATTTAATGTGTTTGACTCAGAAACCAAGTGAAATATCTTATTTGATGTGTTTTGGTTGGAGAACTATTTGAATGTTCCCAGAAGATGAAATCAATCATAAAAAGTTAAAAACCACTTGGTTGGTTCGGACACCAAAAACCAACACCGATAACCGAATGCAGGAAAAATGTTTAAATGATTTTAACCTAGAGAGCCGGTTTAGTAAAGTTAATGCAAGTCTTGATCACATGAACACCGACTCAACTATATTCTAAGCCTTCGTTCTTCATTCTTGGTTCTCGTTTTAACTTGATCAATATGCCATGTTTTCTTTGCCTTTAGTTTGTTCAACATCTTCTCATATTTGTGGCGGTTTGGTATTATCAAAATCTGTCATAAAATGAACACGATTTTAGTGCGACATAGACGTAAACACGTGTTCCAACATGATGGTCGTGGCGCCGGTGTCTGGTAAGGAGTGGGAGGCATGGGTGTCTGCCCTGTGTGTGGTAGCGCGAAGGGAAACATATCCAGGAGGAAAGGCATTCCCCCCGACCTGCTGGCACATGGCCATGATTTGGCCAAATCCCTAGATTGCCTGCAAGTTAGCAGGGTCATTGACGAATTGTTCCATGCTATGCGGAAAGGTTACCCTTGGACTCGCCAAAGGTAGAGGGAAAGGAGCCATCTATCTGACGGATGGTGCCGCGATGGAAGGGACCATAACTAGGCTGAGTCCGATTGGTATCATGGTAGATGATGGAGTTTGAGGGGCGGTGGTCGGTGTGACCACTGCCTCGGTGGTGGCCAATCAAAAGGCAGAGTTGGCAGCAATGTTTTGTTGGCTTGAAGACATTTTGGATATGTTGCGTTTTTGTGATTAGGCTCTCTAGATGAAAAAAGAAACCTTAACGGTCCCCGGGTCAGTGTTAAAAATGATGATGTAAATCAACCATCTAGGCAAAGTGTACTAGATCGGGTCTAGGATAGTTTGCTGAGTTTAGAGAATGAAAGGTGCAGGAAAATAGAGAATAAACGGTAGGATTGTAGGTGGAAAGACTTGTAGTCTAATTATTATTAAATATGTTGGAGAGTAGTGGAGGTATTACACAATATGCTCTAGAGACATAAAGTTCGGATTCCTTCATTTGAAGGTTACAGAGGTATTTATAATGAAATGGAGGGGACAGAGCGCCGTGCGTCCACATCAGCCCACATTCTCAGACGGCGCGAGGTGATCTCCTCTTTTCCCATAGCGTTTGGTCCTATTCCCTTGTCCTCTTGTGCTGATGATACCTCCTTTGGCGCGTAGCGCCCAGCTGAGGATGTTGGAATATTCTGGTGAACTTTCGTTAAAAATTGGTCACTACCGTCTCACCGACTTTGCAGCTATTCGTGCTGACACTTTCACACCATAATTACCTACCTAGTAGGTTTACAGCCCTGCATTCTGAAGGGGCAGAAGACCACCAACATGAAGTCACGTACTCTGACCGGTAGGTCTACACTTTGTACCAGTCGACTTTTTTGAACCTGACCAGTGGTCTATTTTTAGTTAAAATCTTCCATTCGGATATGTTTAAATCTGACCAGTCAGATGCTGTCGACCTGGACTCGGACTGGGTCCTGGGTGGAATACACCCATCAAAAGCTGTTAGTTAGATCTAAATCCGAACTTTATATGGAAAATAGTTAAATCTCACAGAACACTCCACCCGATTCACTCGACCTACACAAAATCCAAGAGACTAAGGTGTGAAGCAGCAAAGAAGTGCAACACTAGAAAGAAAAAAGCAAAGGTTGTCAAGTGCGAATACAGGTCTAACCAACTAGGACACTGTCACACTGGGACCCATCAATCGAAGTCCACATTTGAAATGGTTTGTGAAATAGAGAGCGTGTGTCCCACACATCTTTGAGTGGTGGCATAGAACAGACTTTTCTCGTATTCTTCTTGTACCAATTACCAACCAATATGTTGTCCACTCTCTCTTCTCTCTCTTTCTCCAAACACTCTGACAATGAAATCATCAGCATCATATCTGTATTCTTGAATCTGGTAAATACCCTATACAGAGTGTACATATAGCTTTCCAAAGGTGTTCTTCTGAAAATTTTGCACTTTGATTTGATTTGATTTTGTCCCTTTTGTTTCTTGGTCTGTAGTTGTGGTTTCTGTTTATTCTTTCTTGAGATAGAACAGTTTTTGCTTCTACCCCTAGTTGTGCAACTTTTCTTAGTAAATAATTTGTATTTTTTCTGAGAATAGATGTTTAATTTCCAGCCCCTAAAGTGGTTTGGGTACTCTGGATTGAAATTTACAGTTGTTGATCATTGAGAAATCAGGCGGCGAATCCGGCCGCTTTTCATGCAGGGTTCTGAATTCCTCTTCTTCCTTTAAATGCTCTAAAAAGGTTATTTTTTTAGTCAATTACTCTTTATGAACATTTTTGAAATCTGGAATTCTTGATATCAGCAGGTGGTGTGCAAAGTTGAATCTTGATTGTTTAATTAATTATTTGGTCTTTCAAAAGAATGTGAGTTGAATTATGTGAGTTTAATCAATTATTTGCTCTTACACTAACTCTTATGGCAAAGAGACTAGTCTTGCAATGCTTCGGTGCAATTCTTCCTGTGTTGTCCTGGGGTGAAAAAATGACCCTTGTTTATTATGCTCTTATAAAAAATTACACTACCTTCCTCTCAAAATAAAGTTTACGGTTTAACCTCATAGTTCGTAGAGTTCAAGAAAATTGTTGAAAACTAAAATGCGCGTGGTTCAAACTTGTTTTTGAAGAGAGAAAAATGTAGTGAGCTGAAAGAAAAGTGTAAAAACTTGTTTTGGGACGAAGGGAATATAATTTTGAGATATGTCCGTGTAATGGAGATTTTCCAGAAAATGGATGGAAGCTTGTCTTCAAGTCTAGTAACAAAACCCATGTTTTAGTTTTCTTTTGAGACTCTTTTATGCAAATTGCAGATTTATCTTATCTTCCAGTTGGATATTAGCCAGCCCCAATCCAAAGGAGATTTTAATTATGGATCCTGATAAGGGATTGATTTCAGATCCTTGGAAAAAACCCTCTTTCGCGTGCAATGAACTTTTGGAGGATGAACAACCAGACTACCTCCAGTTCTTGAACAGTTTCACTTTGCATCAGCAGAAGTGGGAAAGTTCATTTCTTGATCAGGTGAGGGTTCAGAATGAGTTGTCCCAGCTCAACCAACCGCCATCGGGCAATGAATCCTCTCCCTCTACCATCAGCAACATCAGAACTAGAGCTCTATCAGATCAACAAGGTTGCGACTCAAACAGGATTCGAGATTGGGATCCGAAAACCATGCTGACCAACCTATCTTTTCTTGAAAAAAAGATCCATGAACTCCAGGATCTGGTGCGCTTGATTGTGGGTCGTCAAGCAAATGAGCTCTTAGTTCGCCAGCATCTCATTACAGCCGACCTAACTTCTATCATAGTCCAACTGATATCAACTGCTGGCAGCCTTTTGCCTCCAGCAGTGAAGAAGCACACTGACCAGGTTGTGCAGCCTTCACAAGGTGTTCTTAACAACATGAGTAAGGTTGAAGGTACAGATCAGCAGAACTGTAGGGTGCTTGAAGAACCGGAGTCGAAAGATGAAGATGACGAAGAAGAAAACTTGGCCCCTGGTTCCTATGAGATTCTTCAGCTGGAGAAGGAGGAGATTCTTGCACCCCACACTCACTTTTGCACCATTTGTGGGAAAGGGTTCAAGAGAGATGCCAATTTGAGGATGCATATGAGGGGCCATGGGGATGAATACAAAACTGCATCTGCTCTGGCAAAACCCCACAAAGAACCCACCTCTTTACCTACACTCATCAAGAGGTATTCATGCCCTTATGTGGGGTGCAAGCGCAACCGGACCCACAAAAAGTTTCAACCTTTGAAGACCATCTTGTGTGTCAAAAACCATTACAAGAGAACCCATTGTGAGAAAAGCTACGCTTGCAGCCGATGTAACGTAAAGAAATTCTCGGTCATTGCGGATCTCAAGACGCATGAAAAGCATTGTGGCAAAGATAAATGGCTGTGTTCCTGCGGTACAACTTTCTCCAGGAAAGACAAGCTGTTTGGCCACATCACCCTTTTCCAAGGTCACACGCCCGCGGTTCCCCCACCAGATGACCACCATGTTAACAATGAAGCATCCATGGGTGCTCCAACGGATCATCCAGAGTTAAATGCTTCCGATGCTCATACTGGTGCGGGCAGTTACTTCTCAACATTGAACTATGATGAAACGGGTAATCTTGGGGGTGGATTTCATGATTTCCCAAGAGTCCCATTTGAAGATTCGGATAGTTCCTTTTCTTTCTTATTATCTGGTTCGTGTGATTACCCGCAGAAGGTTGGCAAATATATGGAGTCCCATGAATAGGGATGAGCCAGTAATCTGGTGTAGCCTTGTACCTAGGAGTTGTCCCCATTTCTCTTGATTGCCTTATTGTTGTATTGGCCACATTTTATGTCATGAATCTATTCATCATCATCATCATCATCATCATCATATTGAATAAAGATCTACTTTCAGTCCATTTTCTTTTGCGGTTTGTTCCAAAATAATAGTACTAGCCTTTTGAATTTAAACATTCTGAATTTAAACATTCTCGTTGGGCCAGAGCTTCTCTGAGTTGACAAAGTTCATCCATCAACTGTCCATTCTCTTCTCTTCCTCCAGCTGGGAGTTTTCTTCACCGGTCTGGTCTCCGTTTTCAGGACACCAGCAGCCAACGAATCCACAACCAACTTTGCCAAATGCCAACTTCTCTTCTCAAGTTTGGGGCCTTGAGTTTGGAGGCAGTCAATTGACAAGACCAAGTGTGGTCGGTGAATTAATTCCCTACCAGTGAAGCTTTTGAAAAAGCACAAAAGTCAAATGATGAACACTACTACTTGTCCAGTTAATGCTTTTAAATTTTATTCGGGACGCAAGATTGTGATACTTGTTGAAGATCTAAAAAAATAGCATTTGTCCACCCAATTTGATACTCGTAATATATCTATTTTATTATGTTAAATTTGTTTAAAATTTTGGAACTCAAATTTAATATTCAATGTATATTATATTCATTTTCTTTAAATTTTTTTATTATATTATTTAGTAAAAGCTTTTAGCCAAAAATGTAATTTAGATGCTCTAATTATTCTATAAACATTTGTTTATTTATCGTTATATCTATTTTGTGTTCAAAGTGGCAAAAAGAGTCAAACTAGGATGATATTTTTGGAGAAAACTATTAAAATAGAACTAAAACAAAGTTGAGACCTTTTTTAAATTTTTACGCATGTAATTTATTTAGACATTTTAAATTTAAATGTTATGGAGTTTTTAGTTTTTACATCTAACTTTTAAATTTAGTCCTGCACCTAACCCATCTAACTTTTCTCAACTACTACACCTAACTTAACTCAAATTCTGCACCAAACTCAAATCCTGTACTTAACTGAAATCCTGCACCTAACCTAACTTAACTTTTCTCAACTACTAAACAAAATCCTACACCTAACTCAAATCTCACCTAACAAAACTCTACTACTAGACATCCTCAATAACTCAACTCTAGAATAAATTTGTGGCAGAAAATAATAATATCACTACACAACTACAAATTGCACAAATCTTTTTCACATTTCATTGAAATGTACTCTCGTGCTAGCTTTATCCTTCTAGCCCATTGGAATGGTGAGTTCAAAATTGTAGACAATGAGGTGGAGTACTCATTGCATGCAAAGAAGGCCTTCGTCTTTGATCTTGAAGTCTCATTTGAAAAGGTCTTCAATGAATTCCTCACTGTTGTTGGTGAAGATGGTTTTAATTCCATCAAGAAAATTTGGGGGAAATATTCCAAATACAAGGATGAAGTATATCCTGCCTCACGCCCTTTCAGAAAGTGGGTCTCGGTATGGAATCCTGACCAATAATCTTTCAAAAAGCTTCAATCAGGTATTGAAGGGATGTCGTTCTCTTCCGGTATATCCTATCGTGAAGACAACGTGGAAGAGATTAGTTAAATTGTTTGCAGAAAGGCAGACGACGGAATTACATGGTTACAAACAGGCCTTAAGTTCCCAAAGCATGTTTGGAATGAGGTTAGAAGAATGGAAGATAATTGTTTGCATTGTCATGTTATCCCTCATGATATGCAACAATGGATTTTTAAGGTCACTATTGAGGGAAATGTTGTGTCTGCAGTTACAGAAAATGGTTTTTTTGTGAATCTGAGCCAACGTATCTGCACTTGCGAGAAATGTTCCACATTACATATGCCTTGTGTCCACGTCTATGCCGTATGCCGTATGCCGTTTTTGTAAAATAACAGCTGATGCTTTGATTCCATTGGTGTTCTCACTGCAAAGCTACCTGAATACATACTCTGGAAGTGTTATTCCACTACCAAATGAAATGGAATGGCCTAATGTTGGTTACAATTAGTGAGACCAAATATGAGGTATCGGTCACAACTCGGTCGTCCAATAAGTACTCGTTTCATTAATAACATGGATATGCGACCACGAAGACAACGTCGTGGCATGTAGTTCATTCATAAATTACTATTTGTAATTATTGTTTATGCCCGTATATTTTAATTATGTGTTTCTTTTTGGCAATAACGCGTGTGTTCGTATCACACGCTTTTTTTATATTATTTTGTATCGAGACAAAAAGTATTGTAAGATTTGTATTTTATTTATCTATTTTTTCATTAATAAGTTATCTATTATTATGAAAACAATAAATCAAATGAAAAAAACATAATTTTAATCTACACTAATTAAAAAATAAATAAATTTAAAAATTGATAATGTTATTTAACTAAAAATATAAAGAAAATGGTAAGTTTTTGTTATTTAATGGAGTGAAACAGTAGATGGAGTTCCATTTCAACATGTGTCAGTTCGGTCCAAAAACAAGTTTCACACATTGGGAATGAACTTTCAAGTTCTGCACTGATTGGGAAATCCCTCGTGGTCAGTCATTTTCAAGTTTCACACATTGTCTTTTGATTTTAAAAGATATTGATGTTTTCGTAAAAGTGTTAAATATGCTTTTAGTTCCTATAAACAATTGAATTTCGTTGTTTTGGTCTTTGTAAAATATTTTTGTGTAAGTAACCCTTTCAAAAAAAATATTTTGAAAATGGTCCTAATAAAATGTAATATAGATTTCTTAAGAGTGCACATTTATTTCAATTTCAACTGCTTAATTTTACATTTCTAATTATCTTAGACACAATTCTCATCTCCTAAATGTATCCTTTATCAAATTATATCTCCAATTTTAAATTTTTTATTATATTATAGTTTTTAAAAATTTGGAAATTGGAGATATAATATGAATAAGTACACAATTTAAGGCTTAGAAATTGTGTCTAAAATAATTAGATATGCAAGACTAAGATATTAAATATGAAATAAATGTACTATCTCATTTAATTTGAAGCGCTAATTACGTTTAAGGACCATTTTAAAAATAATTTTTTTCTAAAGATGACTTTAACAAAAAATATTTTACAGAGATTACAAATAAAATTTGCTTATTTTAAAGGGATTAAAAGCATATCTAACCATTTTGTAAAACAATATGAAGTAAAACATTAGAAAACCAAGTAAAATATATTTTTTTCTATCCTAAAATTAACTTCTCATATTGACTTTTGTGGTCAGATATTTTGAACTTTGATCATATATTACGAAAAAAATATGTTGAATTTGTTTATATAAATTTAGTATCAATAGATTTATTTTGAAACATAGAATTGCAATATTATATAGACACACCCACACACACACATAAAGGAGCCCCCCTTGTAGAGATGGTCACAAGGCTGAATGGGGAACCTTACGACATGGGTTCGATCCTCAAAAGGAGCAACTTTGGAGGAATTTTAAGAAGTTAAGCGAGAATAATGGGTGACCTCTGGGAAGTATGAAGACTTATGGGGTGGGCTATTAAATTGGGCCTTTATTGGGTTTACTATAGTGAGCTATCTGTCTCGGGGTTAACGGGCCTCGGGCCCCTGGTTGTAACAATCCGTTCATCTACCCTCATCTCTGTCTCTCTCTTTGTCTGCCTATTCCACTTCATCGTCGCTCGACACCCTTCTCTCTTCCGATCTCCCTTCCCCTTTCTTTGATCGATCGAAAATTACTTATGGGGATTCGCGAACGCCTGTCCTAACTACTCTTAAGCCTTCGATCCTTAAATATGACTCTGCCGATAGCGGATCTAGAACCTCTGATACAGATCCAACATGGTGGTACTAGAAAAAAAATCCTGGGGGAGACCATTTCCCTATAGAGGAAGAACGATATTGTGTCGAAGATGAGGAAGATGAAGAATCTGTTACTTTAGAATAGATCTTAGAGATGTCCAATACAGAAATTATTTTATCTGAGCCGGATGGAGATGAAGCTAAGGCACTTCGCTTCAGGAAGAGTAATTTCTTCCTACTCTTTAATTTTACATTCCGAGTATTTGCATGCCCTACTTGTTTCTCTACTGGCAAACTTATGATGCAAAAAAGATTGTAATGTCACCCCAGATTGGTTGGAGACTTACAAAACCGAATACTTTTATCCATGTCGTCTACCCTTTGCCTATTTTGTGAGAAGATGAGGAATCTGTTACTTCAGAATATATCTTAGAGATGTCCGATACAGAAATTATTTTCTGTGAGCCGGATGGAGATGAAGCTAAGGCACTTCGCTTCATGAAGAGTAATTTCTCACTACTCTTTAATTTTACATTCCGAGTATTTGCATGCCCTACTTGTTTCTCTACTGGAAAACTTATTATGCAAAAGGATTGTAATGTCACCCCGTATTGGTTGGAGACTTACAAAACCGAATACTTTTATCCATGTGGTTACCCTTTGCCTGTTCTGTGAGAAAAGTGTCGTGGTGAGAGTATGAGCTGTTTTCTTTATTCTTTCTTCTCTAGCAGTGTGATTCAAATGTATACTTGAAAACGATGTTTTTTATTTATGAATTGAAGATGCTAAACTTCCTGAATTCTAATAATACCAGATGCTACATTTAATAGACCAACAAACATTTGCATGATTATATCCTGGTAATAATAATAGATAGTACATTTAGGCACTTCCTTTACTTATAATTACACATGCTACACATAGCCACTTGATGATAATTACAGACACTACACTTGTATTACAATATACTCTCACTGAGTTAAATACTACAAAAACAAAAAAAATCTTTGGGCACTAGCAAGGTAAACTCCTACTCATCAGATACAACACATGTGCATGTTTGCCATCCAAAAATTATGCAAAAGCTTGTCAATAAGAAGTACATAGAGGCGTCCTTGGCCATGTTTTCACAAACAAAAAAACAAGTACCCTATATTGGAGTACTCACATATGCTCCTCTAAGCACACGTGTGCACTATGATACCCTTCTATGCTAACCCCTAAGTTCCGTGGTACTCAACCTTCTCTGACCATCTTAGTTTTGTTCATGTGAGAGATTTTAAATTGGTTCCCCCCATTGTAATTAAGAACCTCACCCATCATACCTTGAAGGGTCAAGAAAACTTTATTGAGTTTGTCAGCTGACAGCTCTTCAAATGTTGTTGTAACAGCATGAAGCAAGTCTGCCAAAGACCTAGGAGCAGCTTGGTCTTGTAGTGTATCAATAGACCTAAAGAATCCAAGATCAAATACATTCATGTCTGGGCTGAGGAAAAAAATGATCGAGACAAAATTTTAGCCTTTTCAACTTACCTCATTCACACAGTAATGGCTTTATGACATTTGAATGTCTCTTGATCTCCTTCCACTCAAGCCAACTATGGATAATGGATTTTGAGACCCCCATAGCATAGCTCATTGCACGCATGTTCTTGCGCCTATTAAAAGGCAAAGCTGCCATTTTAATTTTCAATGTCAACAGGGATCCTTTTTTCTTCCACACTTTCCTTTCCATTTGCACTCTACAGAAATGTGTAGACCACCTTGGATTTGAGCTCGAACTATTTTCCAAATGCTGCTTATATTTCTACTAGAAATGCTGAATTCTTCAATAAGTTTTTTTTTATAGTACCATGCTGAAGTTTGCCATTGTTATAGTTCTATAGTAACTGATCTGCAACTCTTTTCCTTGTTTAATTCAATATAGCACCTTTACTTTCGGATAGTGTTTCTGTTTCCGGGTTGAAAAGATTGGGAAAATGCACTTCAATAACTTGTGGAAGATGGTCAAAAGAAGAAGACTCATCTTCTGAAAAAGAAAAGGAACCAAAGGCAGAGTGCAATAAAGGGGATTCAACAGGAGGGTCCATAGAACAAGGAAGCAAAGAGAATAAGGGATGAATGAATGCATTGAATGCATTCATTTAAATAGTTGTATGGTAGGTGTTTTTGGTTGAACTTTGCTATTTTTGGAAGGGTGCTAGTGGAGGGAATTTTGAAATTCTCCCAAAATAGTCAAATTTTTTAATACTTGTTTAGGACCCTTTAGGTCTCCATTTTAATGTAATGTGTGGTTATCATTTATTCTTACACTTGCACTCATTACCCTCGTGTGTGGGAAGGAATGAGCTACTTTTTTTATTCTCAAAAACTCCTTCAAGTAGGGTTGAAGTGGGGCTTTTGATGGAAATGTGTACATCAACATCAAATGCAATGTTACTTTACACTATTTTCTTTCCATTATTACATTAGGGTTTGAGGGTAAAATTATCGAGTCAATGCAAAAAATTTTACTCCTTATTTTGGTTGAAAGTCAAAACAAGAAAAGGAAAAAGGGACGGAGGAAGTAAAAATATTCGTATAAACCCTGAAAACATTCACAATTAGAATGCTTCCAAACTGTAAAAAGACCTCTACTATAGACATTCATTGCTTGGAGTGTATGAGGCCAGAGTCATTTTACCCTTAATTTGATTTGTTTACTAAATTGGTCAACTAATTTTTGATATTTTTTTTAATTTTTATTTGAGACTATGTTGGTCCCATCCTTAGTTGTAGTAGAGGGTACCAAGTCATCAGATAAGTACCTAATGCCTATTAAATATGGACTAACAGACTATGTAATGGTATTCACCTTGATCTTCTTCTTAACGTATCAGGTTTTGATGTTATGAGGAGTTGTTTTGACAAGACTACTACATATCATATGTTCTAATTTGACAAAGCTTTAACGCCGGAGTGATTATTGCCCGGACGAAAATACCCTCAAGAGTATTAACCATTAAGCTCAAAAATGAATGCTTGCAGCGAGAACGTGGCTGAGAAGACTCAATTTATAGGAAAACAAAAAGAACCTAAAACTGTGAAAATTGAAATTGAATCTGGAGACAAACTGCATTGGCTTGCTCGTATATGGTGATATGCCTTTCATTACTCCTCAAATTAGCTGCTTCTAGTCTCATACAAGAGAGGGAACACATGACTAGTTAGTTCTTTAATAATGAACTACTGAACTGAATGTACTGAGAAGACTTGTAGAGCAATATGAGCTTCAATCCATGATTCGAATGAGGTCTATTCAACGGGCGTTGGTAGAAAGTCTCCTTAAGAACAATATCATCGGCATATGACCACGTCTTGCCCCTGGGAGTGCTTTTGTTCCAGAGAAACCTCTCAGAAAACGGATTCACTAGGCTTTCCCTGAAATCTTTTGCTGTCTCGCATTGTAATCCCTGCATAGATTTATAATATATTCTTTAAAAAAACCAACAAAAAAATATAATCATTTGGAGGATTGATTTCTTCTATCAAGTATTTACCTCTGCCATTGACCTGATCTTCAGAGCGAGGTCATCACTCAGGAGGACGAGTCTTTTCTGGCTGCTGTTGATTTTTCTCTGGGAGAGAGCATATTTGAGAATGTGGTCTTCAGCATTGGTGCTTGCTGCTTCATCTGAACTCTGTACATGAATCCACCACTTTGTATTTTTCACACAGTTTTCAACCCATTCTAATGCTGAAGATACCTCTGTAGTTCTTTTCAAGAAACTAGCCCCACTCTTCATGCACTCTAGCTCCCTTATGACTGAGAATAAAAAGACAGCCAATGAGCCATGTCAGTTATTGTGGTAACAAGAAGCTCATCAACAGCAAAGGAAACCGAAAAAGATATGAACGAATGATTACCAATGTGAGGGATGAGCAAAGAAGTACATTTCAGACCCTCCAGAAGCTGCATAGCTTTCCTCGATTCTTTTTTCAGCAGAGTAGTTGTGTCCACAACCATACACCAACTCATTTTTTCCTCCCTGACTTTAGGCTCCTATTGAAACATTTTGAATTCTTAATCATAATTCGAAACATCAACATTTTAAAATCAGAATCACACTATGAAGATGAATATCGCCAAATACTCAAATGAACTTAAACACTTATATCTCATCCATGACAGCTCGTACGTTATATGGTAACATATCCCATGGTAATTTCTTAAATGTTGAGTTTGGAAATAGAAATATCCAAATGAACTTACAGAAAGATGATGGGTCTTCTCTTCCACTCCTGGATTGATTGAATCAGTCACGATGCTGGAGTTAACAAGCACTGACTGAAAAGGCAATCTATCATAATCCTTCGGTGTAGACTGCATAGGTATTCCCTCTTGTTTATTTCTCTGCTCTTGAAGCGCTCTCTCATTGTGATTTTCTTTATTAACAGCCATGCCTTCACATTCATGTGATCTTGAGTTAACATCCTCGCCACCTATCTGGGAGTTGCTTTTATTATTTCTTGACTTTCCAATCTTGTCCATCGACCTCCAAATATTAGGGGTAATGTTCTCTTTATCTGGAGTGAAAGTTTCATCTGCATTCCTCAAAGGTGATGATTTATGCACTTTCAGCTTCGTTATACTTTGAAGTGTTCCCTTATGTTTCATTGACCTCAGGATATGGGCACTCGATTTCTCATTCTGCTTGTATGCAGTTACAGTTTCTTCAACACCGTCACCCATATTTGGAATTGAAAGTTTTGTCGTGGATTGATTTTCCAAGTCAACTTCACCTATCTTCTCTTTCAGTGGTGGAGTGCCAATTTCTTTGTCATCCATGTCGCCACCATTCAAAATATGAATATCCAGAGCTAAACTCTCTTCCATCAGTGTGACTGATGATTCTTCATAAGTTTTCACATCAGAGAATGACCTAACTGGGACAGAAATAGGAGATACCTCTTCATTTGCGGTAAACATTTGTTTATCTGGGGAGAACATTTCATTATCTGCTACATCACCATCCAAAGTCTCATTGTGCTTATCAGGAGTTAGAACTTCTTCATCGCCACCATCCATATCTGGAATTGGAAGCTTTATAGAAGATGGACTTTCCAGCTCAACTTCACATGTCTTCTTCAATGGAGTACACATTTCTTCTTCATCCAAAGTTATGCTCTCTATAATCGAAGTGGCTGTTGTTTCTTCATCAATTTCATCCACATTTGGAAATGGAGATTTTTTCGATGATCCACTTTTCACCGAAAACTCGTTTGCATTCTTCACGGACCCAAATGAGAGAGAATTATGAACCAGATTTTCCTTGTCCGGATTGGAAATTTCTTCTTCATCCACATATCTGGAGCGAATGTTCAAAGTTAGATTCTTTATATCTGGAACTTCTTTTTCATCATCTTCTTTGTCCACTTCCTTATAGCCGACTACCTCTTCAGAAGATTTGATAATTGACCCAGTTTTCACAACAGACAATGACTTCAGTGGGACAGAAATAGGAGACAGCTTCTCTTCATCTGAAGATGTTTGTCTTTCTGGGGAGAATATTTCATTGTCTGCATCAAATGCACACATAAAATGAATATCTGCAGTCACTTTCTCTTCATCTGTTGTGACTATATCATTACTGGCTTCATCCACTTTCAGAACCAGTGACTTTAGTGTTGACCCATTTTTCAAATCGAACTCATTTGTGTTCGTCAACAAACTGAGTGGGAGAGAACTAGAAGGGCAATTCTCCTTCTCTGGACATGACCCTTTTTCACCACTCAGAGAAGGATCCTTAAAACAAAATTGGATATCTGGAATAAGGTCTGATTTTGTCACAGATTCATTCTCTTCATCCAGAGCAGCTACTCCATCAGCTTCAGCCACTTTCAGAAGTGAAGATTTCATTGTTGATCGCGTTCTCAAATATAATTCATTCAAATTCCTGAATGAGCCAAGTGGGAGAGAGCAAAATATGCAATCCTCCTCTGGAGTTAGAGCTGGTTCACCCACATCGCTGCTTAGGAAAAGATCCTTTAATAATGATTGGTTATCTACATCAGCATCTTTCTCTTCACATGCAGCTGGGTAATTAATCTCCTCAGGCAAAGCAGGTGGTGATGAAGGCAAGGTATTCGCAAAAGGCACATCTGTATCAGAATATACTGCGTCTTGTTTCTCCAGCATGTCATTCTTTACCAGCATTTCATCTTGTTTATCCAAAAACCGAGCATCAACCTATAAGAAATCCCATCATAACAACTTTAAGCCAATGAAACAATATTTATTGTGCACAACCCTCAAAAACTTATACTGCTCCAAAGAGCTTACCTGATGATCCACTTCTTCTTCTTCTTCTTCTTCTTCTTCTTTAAGTGAAGGCTCTGACTGAAGAAGAATTGGAGGAACAAACGGATTATCCAAATCATAGGCTCTGCTCAAGGGAACCCAATGCAACCTGTATACCCTACTTGATCCCCCAAGCTGCATCATGTCACCTTCCTCCAAGTTAATCCTAACCCCCGATTCAATCTTCTTCCCCGCAATCCAAGTCCCATGCACTTACACACAGAAAAAAATGTTGTCTCAATTTTTAAACCTTGAGGGTTGCTACAACAAAATATAAAATCCGAAATTCACATGCATACATTTCTTGTAGAAACAAGCAGAGCAATTTTAAAAGTATCAAGAAATTGAAAACTATCAGTTTATTATACCCATAACAATCGAACAATTCCACATCTATACCATAGGATAATCAAGAAATAAGAAACGGACCATTCACCCAGAACAAAGAAATGATTAAATAGGAAGAAAAGAATACCTGAGGATAGATCTACAACGGAGAGGGATTGGGAAGAGGGCTTGGAGTAGATGCGGAGATGGAATCTGCTGATGCTTGGGTGCTCCAAGGTGATGTCACAATCTGGGTGCCTTCCCACAACCAGAATTTCTTCCGATTCATTGTGGGATTCATCGACCCAGGGTTGGTTGTCGATCAGGAAAATGTTCTTGAGGATTGCGTTGTTCTTCAGCACTGTGAATACAGGTATTGTTCTCTCGCCCAGCTTAGCTGAAACGGGTACTCCGTGCTCATGTTGATTAATCTCCATTGCAGTATCTGGACTCTGGAGCGAGTGTAGAGATGGAGAAATTTGCAGAGAAGGGTTTCTGAGTGAGTTGGGGGCGAGGGGGACCGGTGACGCCTTTTGAACGATTTCCCAGTAATATGGCCGTTGTAATGTGAACACGCTCCTTTCAATCGTTACTTTTGTGAGTGTGCCCGTGCGGATGCAGGTATCTTGAATTGTACTATGAGCAAGGGTAGGGGTACACTTTTGGTGTACCCCAAATGTATGTCACTCCCATCTCCATCACTCATTTTAAATTAATTTTTTTTATTTATTATTTTTTGATTTTCTTCCCCAATTATGTGGACAAGGAGGGAGTGGGGGACAAATGGGGGTACACCTTTTCCTAAAGGTGTACCCCTAGCATTTTTCTTGTACTATTTCTCTTGTGCAAAGGGGTGTAGAAGCTTTATTCTTTGTCATTAATTTATGGAAAAAATATCTCAAATAATTCCATCTATTTACTTTTTTTTCAAAAATAACTTACTTTTTACTTTCACCTAAAATAATTTCACTTTTCAACATGTGTGTGAGTTTTGGGTCGTCTTTAAAAAATTAACGGTCACTTAACAGATTTTTTTTGAAAATGCATGTTTTTGGCAAATAACTGTAAGGTGAGATTATTTTAGTCAAATTTAATTTTTTATTTTTTTAATTTTAAAAATAACTGTAAGGTGAGATTATTTTAGTTAAATTTAATTTTGGCAAATAACTGTAAGGTGAGATTATTTTAATTTTTTATAACAATGTACTCTTCTTAGAGATTTGTCTCAATTTTTTTAAAAAATATAACGATTTACCAATTTTGTTTTATGTTCCAGTACAAATATAATATTAGATTATCGGAAAATAATTCTGAGTATCAGCCGAGAAAGAAATTACAATGCATAAAAATTGAAGCAAATTAAAAAAATTATTTAATGTCGTTATAGAGAAAAAAATATTGTGCCGTTCTCACAAAACTTGAATTATTATTTCGGGAAAAAAATTTGTAGGTACTGAATTATCGAAAAAAATCACATGTTGGGTAGTTCCATTTTAGAAAAATAATACGGGTAATAAATAATTACCAATAAACATTTCAGAGTGTTGTTAATGAAAAAATTGCAATACAACAAAAAGTGTAGTGAGTTGTAAAAACAAAAGTTCCATTTCATAGAAAAAATTATTGTGTTACTTTCACTACTATTGTAATGTTGTTTTACAATAAAATATTATATAGAATTATTTATAAATATTCATAAGTTTTGTAGTACTGGTTTTAAATTAAAATAAAAATAGTACAATATCAAAAAATAATTCGAAGTGTCACTTAAGAAAAATAATTACAACTTACAAAAGAATATACTGAGTTATGAAGTAAATAAATTAGCTCCATTGTGTAGAATGATTTATTTTTCAACTATTACCAGATTTTCAATTATTGAAAAAATTAGTTTTACTCTTAAAAACACTTAAATTTGGTGGGGTATTATTTTAAAAAAAGTTTTTAAAAAAAATTAAAATTTAATGTTAGAAATGAAAACAAATGAAAAAAAAGAGAATTTATCTAAAATAATTCCACTTTTCATTTATTTGAAAAAAAGAGGCATTTTCCAAAAGTTCTGTTAAGTGGTTGTTAGCTTTTTAACGCCCTGAAACCTGTACTATAATGATTAATTAATTAAAAATAATTAATTAGTTACTGAGATAGATTCATTGTAATTTTGAAATATTCTTCGTTTGACAAAAAGTTTTATATCGTTGTAAGGTTTGACAGCACAGATTCAAAGGTGCAAACGGATTTGAATTTGTAGCTCGTGGGCCCGAAAATGCATTTTTGGCCCTGGTACGTTAAATAACTACGGAGCCCAAACCCCAAACATATATATAGTACCCTAAAACACCCCATACGCACGTTGTCACTCCATAATCTCACGATTCTCTCAGCACTCTCACTCTTGTCCTTCGTTCGACCGGAAACAGCAGGAATAGAATAGCAGCGTGGAAGGAACAGGGTGAAAAGAAGAAGAAAGAAGAAGAAGAAGAAAGAAGAAGAAGAAGGAAGAAGAAGGTAGCTGCATCATCTTATTCCCCGTTCGTGGTATTATCTCTAAAGTTTCTAATCATCGTAATCGAGGTGAGTACCTATATAGACATCTAACATATAGTTATATCTGTAGATTTGAATCTTACGTTCGTAGAATCGTTACAGTTGATTACGTGAAATCCTATCTGAATTATGCATTGTTTATGTCGTGTTGTTACTTGAAAGACAATAATCAGTATAGGTATCATTATAATGATTTTTGATAATATTTGGAATGATATTGTGAACATATTGATGCTTATTAGTGTGGATTTAGTGTTTGTTTGATGTTGGAAAATAGAGCAAGTGCATAACATGTAACTTGTCGCGTCAGACTATAGGGCGGTACCGCCGAGACAGTACCATGCTACCGCCACCCTCTGTTCCTCCCTCATGGATAGGATATCGAGTACCTGAAGAGCGGGAAGAGGTAATGGAAGGATCAACAGAAGCCAATGTCTGGGCTATATGGCAATAATAGTCGGAAAGGTGTGCAGGGGGGGCGTGCACGGACAATAGGTAAGGGTGGAGATGAAAGGGGCGATGACAGAATAGCTGGACTATTCGCAGCGCCATGTGCAATCAAGTCGATTACAAATCACCGCAGAATCACGGAAGGATCAGAGCAAAAGTCTACTTCTTCTTCCTATCAATATATAAGGAACACTTCATACTCCATTTCTTCACCATTCTTCATCCTTCTTCCTGAGTGGCCTTTATTGAGAGAGAATTGTAGAGGTGCTGTAAAATTGGTGTGAAGCCGGTGGACCTAGTCACAAACCTCGCTAGAAGTTTTTGCCAGAAAATTTCCAAAACTTTCGTTACGCTTTGAGGTAAGCTCGTAGATATATCTACTGACTAGAATGTTCGTATAGATTGTTTCTACGTTCATAAACGGTCGTTTGGTTGAGTTTTGTGTTTGACACGCTTGAAGAACTAAGAATCATAAACCTTGAAATTGTTGTGAAAACTACAAATTTAAGATACCAAAATGATCTATGAACCTTGGAAAACATTTCTATATAGTTTAATTGAAGTTTGGTAACTAAAAATGACATTTCAGAAAATTGGCCCGAGGTTGAAGATGACACTGTTCAAAACTACACGCAGAACGGTAGCCAGCTACCGTCCGAACTGTACCTTGGTACCGCCGGCACGGTAGGCCGTACCGCCGGCACAGTAGGCTAGCTACCGTCTCCTCCGAGTAAAACGTTTTCCTCTGGCAATACCTGATGCCAAACGATACCCCATACCGTTTGGGCGATACTGAGGTACCGGTAAGGGTACCGTTTGTCCCGAGAAAATTCCATAAAATCTGATTTTTGAACTATTAAATCCTAATTTTGATACCAATAAATTATTATCAATATGAATATGATTTTTGGAAATATAAATGATTTTTCTGACAAATAAAAATCTTGTGTGATGCATGACGGTAAGCTAGGATGTGAACACTCGATGCTAGATCGCTATATGTTATTATATGATATGTTGACTATTATTGATTAATAATTATAACGATTATAATGATTAATTGTTGACGAAACTTTTGATTTATATGATTATTGTAAATGACAAAATCATGGTTAAAATTGAAAATATAGAGGATTATAGAAATAATGTGTATTGTTAAAGGATATTTACAAAACTCTAAGATATACCCATTTGGAAATTCATGTTGATTATTAAGGATATCTAGAAGAAATCTAAGATATACCCATGTGACCAATTCCATTATTTGGGGTTAAAATGTACGTAAGGAATCCAAACCGGATATCACCCACCCGACAGTTCACTGTTCAGTTGGTACGTAATCCACAAGACTCATAGGGTGTATTATTGATTCCTGTGTTTTGCCTTAAACTATTTATAGTTTAAGAGCCTGATTTGAAATATTGCCTTAGACTAAGAATAGCTAAGAGCTTGTTAAAAAATGATTTGGCCTTAGATTAAAAATAATTTATGAGCACTATTGAGATATTGAATATTGTATATATAATGAAATGACTTGGATTAAAATATTGTGAATATCATGAATGATAAATGATTGAATTGTATATTGTGCCTGATATCAAATGGTTGATTATGAATTGAGATTCAATTTATATGGATGTTCGATGCATTAGATATGCTTACTCAGCTTTACCGCTAAGCGTGTAGTATGTTTTATTTGCTACACGCAGGTAAACAAAAAGAATGAAGTGATGAATCCCAGATGGGGCGAGACGGTCGTGATGGATGTGTGAATTTAAATAATTAATTGGGATTGTCATGAGACATGCTTTAAATTCTCTTCCGCAACATTATGAAACACTCTGTATTTTTACAGTTAGATAACGAATAATATTTCTGATAAATAAAGATATTTGAAATGTTTTAAATGTTTACGATTACCAAGATAATACTTCAGTCTGAAAAGGGCTGCAGACCTGGATGGATTAGGGTGTTACATGGATGGCCAAGATGTTGGTGCAGTAAGGAAACAAACTTGGCTTTGGACGCTCGAGCTTGAGAAGGAAAGACATAGAATCTGTTGCATGCTTCACATTTACCAATCCATGTCTTCGTAGTTCGGTCCTGTATCACACAAAAATGATCATTAAATAAAACACGACAGGTATGTGAGTTGACAAGACAACTCACTGATATCAAATTACATTTCAAATTTGGAACATATAGAGCATTGCAAGGTTAAAGAGGGAGACACTTGCACCCGGTCAAAAGAATTTGCTACCCATTGCGCAAACTTATAGTGCAAGGAGGCCTCGGTACTACATCGGTCAAACATGAGAGCGTTCTGCCATATGATGAAGAAGACATATCTTGTAGCTTATCAGACGAAGAAGGTGTTGAATCTATTATAGAGAAAAGACGAGCGGCTTGACCTCGGGACAAAGCAGAATGAGGGAGGCACATCTGTTGTGGCACTGTGAGACATGCGGCTGACACAAATTTCCCGGCATTGATGGGCGGTGAGGGCCTAATGTTTCTTCCACCACGGTGCCCACGTCCTCCCCATCGTTGGGTAAAATTCTGACCACGCCCCGATCCGAATTTGGAGACCCATTAATCATATAACATTGATCAACAATGTGACATTGTTCTTCTCAATGAGTGAACTAGTATGTGTTGGGCATAGTGTGTGGGTGACTGTAACGCCCTGCAACCCGGTCTAATAGAATTGATTAATTTAATTAATTACTTACTGTTCCGGGCCGGAGTTGGGGAAATTCAAAAGTTCCTAGAAAAATTATTTGATCATATCATTAAATTCATCTTGACTGTCTGATTCCAGAAACACAAACGGAACTCAATTCGGACCCGTTCAGGGGAAAGAGCGCGTACCGTTCAGGTCGGATTTTTACATTACGGAGTAAATAAGTTTTGTAACCTCCCTAGACCTTTGGTTCGGCTCCTTCAACACCCCCATCATTTCCATTTAATATCTTCTTAAATCACCATAAAACATCACCCTTATTATTCTCTTTTGGTAACCCCCCATTGTGAATTCAATCATCAACTCCATCATCACCATTCATCTTCTCTCCTCTCATTTTCGGACAAGGCAAGCAGCAGCCCAGGAATCTCCGGTGAAACTCCGGTGGGTGCAAGGTTGAAGGAGAAGAAGAGCTAGGCCGTTCGAGCGAAGCGTAGTCGTCGTTTGTCCGTTCGTTAGCACCGTTCGTTCATCTCATTCCATCAACCCCTTCGTTTAGAGGTGAGTAGTTGTCCCTCTAATTCTAGAACATTTAGTTATAATCTATGTCGTTCATTCATAGGAATATCGTACGCGACCTACGTTGGCTCTATGCATGTTCGTAGGTTAACCCTCCAACATACGTGAGCCCATGTTACCAAGTTATGTACCCGTTAATATAAATGTTTTGAAACCATGCAAGTTCATCGATTACTTATCGTGGAAATGAAAACATTTGTTTCTAAAACTTCCAACGTTTTGATGACAAACAAACAAATAAAATAGAAATCAGCGTGCCGTGATAATAGAGTTACAGGATAGTATAATCGATTATCAGGCCACGCCGGATTTCTCAGTTGAATGGGCACAGCGTGATAATCGATTATGCCATATGTGATAATCGACTATCAAGCCCTGCGGATTCTTGGGTCTGAGTTGGCTTCACTGATAATCGATTACCACACAGGCAATAATCGATTATCAGGTCTCTCTGAACCTAGGATTTTCCAGATAAACCAATTTGACAATCGATTGTCATAGGGTGACAATCGACTATCACAGTTTGCAGAACTTTGGGGACAGAAGCTGCACCACATGATAATCGATTATCAACAGTAGACAATCGATTATTAGCCAGTTCTGAACCCAAGGTCACCATGTTGGACAAATTGTAATCAAACACATATGTACGAATTGAATTTAACTCTCTTCTTCAATCAATGCATTCATTCCATCACGTTCTTTCTAGACGCATGATCTAGGATATCATCATGTGCATACCGCTGTAGGGAGGACTTCGTGCGCCTACTACAGTGGGCCCGTCCAGGAACCCTTGGGGTCCAACGGGTTTTCATCATGTTGGGCTTGTGTACGTACATAGTAGTCAGGTTACGGCTACTACCCAGTTTTGCTAGTCCACTCGCGACATCTTTGTCTTGCCCGGCTCGTTACCGTTCGGGTACGGTGACCGGAGTGCAGGGGTGAACCTGTCGAGTGAGACTAAGTCAGGGGTGTCTCTGTTAGTTTAAGTCATGCATCAAGTCATATCATCATCATGTATGCTCCTATCACCTTGATATTTGTAATAGCTTAAACAGGTGGAAATTTAACAGTTAGTAACATGTGTTCTCCCGTACGTTAAGTACAGGTATTTATATGAGAGTAGCTATATGGCTTGTCACTTAATGTTCTTTTGTTAGATTCACTCCTCAGCTTATGCTGAGCGTGTAGTTGTCTTTGCTACACGCAGGTAGACATGACGGTGCTGGTGCTAACCTTGGAGAGCAGTGACGATGGAGAGATGGGCGGCGCATAGACGGGCTTTTATTTATTTCCATAAACTTAATTAATTAATTGGGCATGAACCCACCCTTGTGGTTATTTAATTTGGACTAGACTTATTTATTTACTTCCGCATTTACTCTGCACTTTTATTACACACGTTTGGGAGTAACTCCCTGGCATTTATTTTACTAATTTAAACCCAACTGTTTTCTCATTAAATAATCATTAATGTTTTTGTAACGGACGGTTCTCGGACAGTCCATGTAACTCTCTACCGGTCCGTTGGGTCGCGGGTGAACCGGGTCCACGGAAGGCAGGTGTTACAATTTGGTATCAGAGAGGTTCGGTTTTGGGGAAAAAAATTCATTTTAGGTCAAAAGGGTATTTTTTTTCTTTCCTTTCAAAAGTCCATAGCCGCATCTCCCATCACATCACTTCCAGGGAAAGATACACCGTTATTTAAATCACATGTATGTCATATTGTAGTTAGTTCTGATTTAAATTATTTCTTTAGAGAGAATGAGCCAAGCAGCTGGCAACGACGGACAGGCTGTCCTAGAAGGGGAGCCTGAGCACGTGAGCGTGCACACTCAAGCGTAAAGCTTCACACCTCAGCAGGCCTCCGAGCAGGCGGTCCCGGGCGTGGGTCCTGTTCCGGAAGCCGTTCCCATCATCCAGCCGCAGATCGTGGCTAACTTCATTAACTTCCTTCAGCAGATGGCTGGAGCATACGTTCCACCGTCGCCGCCACCGCCACCACCAGTGGCGGTGGTCACCATCGAGAAGCTTCGGAAGAACGGAGCTGAGGAATTTTTGGGCGATCAGATCGCCGACCCTATGATCGCCAAACGGTGGTTCGAGCGAACCATCCGAGTGTTGGGGAACCTGAGGGTTCCACAGGAGCAGCGTGGCGACCTCGCAGTTGCCTTACTTCAGGATTCCGCCAACGACTGGTGGAAACGCGTAGGAGCGGACGTTCCGGAGCACGTTCAGTGGGCCACTTTTGATCGACTCTTCCATGAGGAGTACATCCCGGAGCACTTTGTCGAGGCGAAGCGAGAGGAGTTCTTGAAGTTCACCCAGGGTGAACTCACGCTGCCTGAGTATTGTCAGAAGTTTGACGAGCTCGCGGGGTTTGGGCAAGACCTCGTACCGACTGTGGAGAAGCGGTGCAAACGCTTCATGGAGGGCTTACGTCCTGACCTTTCAACTCATCTGATCATTGCCCCACGAAGTGACATCAACGCGTTGTACAAGAATGCATTGGACCTGAATGCGGCCCTCATTAAGAAGGCTGAATTTGAGCAGGCGCAAGGGGGCGTCAGCAGCACCATCCCGTCCTCCTCCACCCCAGAAGGCGGGGACCAGCAGCAAGAGGTCCTTTGCAGCGCCGAGCAGCTCTCACCAGAGCAAGAAGGTAAAGTCAGCCCCAGCTCAGTCATCTGCATCCGTGCAAAAGAAGGGCAAGAGCGGAGATGGGTTTCGCAACCCGATTTGCGACCATTGTGGGCGCAGGCACCCAGGGGAGTGTTGGTACACTTTGGGCTTATGCCTTGGGTGTGGCCAAGCCGGGCATTTCCGAAAAGATTGTCCGAAGAATCCAGGTGAGGCATTCTCGACCGCACCGGCCGCTTCAGCCCCAGCAGCACAGCCCGCCCAGAGCCAGAAATCGGCGGCAGCATCCAGTCAGCCCAAGCGACAAGCATCAGGCGCTCAAGGGGGGAAGGCCCCAGCCCGCACTTACGCGATGCGAGGGCGTACCGAGCAGCCAGCCCATGACGTCATCATGGGTATGTTTACCTTATTCGATACATCTATTACAGCTTTGATTGATCCGGGTTCCACTCTATCATATGTCTGTATGCCTATGCCTGTTATGCCTAACCTTCCGAGGGAAAATTTAGACAATCCGGTAATAGTGTCCAACCCATTGGGACACAGTCTACGACTCACCCATGTGTATCATGATTGCCCATTAGTGGTCCAGGGAAAGATTTTCCTTGCGAGTCTCATTGAGCTTCCACATCGTGAGTTTGACGTTATTCTAGGCATGGATTGGCTCACCGCCAACCAAGCTGTTGTTGACTGTGGAGCTCATACAGTTCGACTGAGAGCCGAAGACGGTAGTGACGTACTGATCCATGGTGAGCTTCTTCCGAAAGCTCCAGAATTCATTTCCTACATTCATGCTCGTCGACTCATTCGCAAGAAGTGTGAAGCATTCTTGTGCACAGTGCGTGACACTCGTCAGGAGGCGCCTAGTAGGGGGGACATCCCTACGGTATGTGACTTTCCTGATGTGTTTCTAGATGACTTACCTGGTCTACCGCCCCCTAGGGAGGTAGAGTTTTCCATTGATCTTGTTCCAGGAACATGACCGATCTCGATCACACCTTATCGCATGGCGCCTGCGGAGATGAAGGAGCTGAAGGCACAACTGCAGGAGTTGCTGGATAAGGGCTTCATCCGACCCAGTGTGTCCCCTTGGGGAGCACCGGTTCTGTTTGTTCGCAAGGACGGATCGATGCGGTTGTGCATCGATTATCGTCAGTTAAACAAAGTCACCATCAAGAATCGCTATTCGTTACCCTGCATTGACGATTTGTTTGACCAGCTGAGAGGAGCCACGGTCTTCTCTAAGATCGATCTCCGATCAGGGTACCATCAGATTCCCGTCAAGAAGGAAGACATTTCTAAGACGGCTTTCCGCACGAGATACGGTCATTACGAGTTCACAGTCATGCCCTTTGGATTGACAAACGCACCAGCAGTATTCATGGATCTGATGAACAGTGTGTTCCGGAAGCATCTTGATCAGTTTGTTGTGGTCTTCATCGACGACATCTTGGTGTATTCCAAGACACAGGAGGAGCACGTCGAGCATCTGCGTATCGTTTTGAGCATTCTTCGGGAGCAGCAGCTTTATGCCAAGCTGTCCAAGTGCGAGTTCTGGTTGCATGAGGTTACCTTCCTTGGCCATGTCATCTCAGCCGAAGGTGTGAAGGTAGACCCGTGTAAGATAGCAGCGGTCACGGAGTGGAAGACCCCGCGTAATGCACGTGAGGTGAGGAGCTTTCTCGGACTGGTGGGTTACTATCGTCGGTTCGTGAAGGACTTCTCCAAAATAGCATCGCCATTGCACAAGTTGATGAGGAAGGACGTTAAGTTCATTTGGACTGACGCCTGTCAGTAGAGTTTCGAGCGGCTGAAGGAGTGTCTAACCCAGGCACCAGTTCTAGTCCAGCCCACTCCAGGAGTGGAGTATACGGTTTTCAGCGACGCGTCCCATAACGGCTTGGGGTGTGTTCTAATGCAGGAGGGCAAGGTCGTTGCGTATGCATCTCGGCAGCTGAAGCCGCACGAGTATAATTATCTGACACACGACCTAGAGCTAGCAGCCATTGTACTTGCCCTGAAAATCTGGAGGCATTACCTCTACGGTGAGACGATGTGTATCTTCACCGACCATAAGAGTCTTCAGTACCTGTTGACGCAGATGGATTTGAATCTCCGACAGAAGAGGTGGTTAGAGTTGATTAAGGACTATGACTGTCACATCGCTTACCACCCAGGTAAGGCGAATGTGGTAGCCGATGCCCTTAGTCGTAAGACTCTAGCTGTGCTAAACGTCCAGCCTACATTACAGCAGCAGATAGCCTCAGTCCAGAGCATCGATGATTTCTGTATCCAGACCGTTGAGCTCGTCTCTCGAGGAGAGAAGCCGGATTTTGCAGTTCGGGATGGTATCTTGTACTATCGGGAGCGTATGGTTGTGCCAGCGGAGGAGGTGAGAGAACGCCTGCTTCGCGAAGCACACAGAACTGTGTATACCATGCACCCGGGCAGTAACAAGATGTTCCAGGACCTTAGGAGATATTACTGGTGGCCCGCGATGAAGCGGGAGATCACTGAATTCATGTCGCGGTGTTTGACTTGTCAGCAGGTCAAGGCCGAGCACCAGGTTCCTTCAGGATTGCTTCAGCAGATCACCATTTCCGAGTGGAAGTGGGATCGCATTACGATGGATTTCGTCGTGGGACTGCCATTGTCACCACGTAAGCACGACACAGTTTGGGTCATCGTTGATCGGTTGACAAAATCAGCACATTTTCTCCCCATTCGTCGTGACTTCTCACTCCAGCGATTAGCGGAGTTATACATCCGCGAGATCATCAGGCTACATGGAGTACAGTCATCTATCATTTCGGATCGTGACCCTCGATTCACATCACAGTTTTGGAAGAGTCTATAGAGGGCATTGGGCTCCGATCTCCACTTTAGTACGGCATTCCACCCTCAGACAGACGGTCAGTCAAAGAGGGTGATTCAGATTCTCGAGGATATGATGCGTGCGTGTGCAATCGACTTCGGGGACGGTTGGGAGCGATACCTGCCACTCATGGAGTTTGCATATAACAATAGTCACCAGGCTAGCATCAGTATGGCACCATATGAGGCTCTGTACGGTAGACCTTGTCGTACCCCTACTTGTTGGACAGAGCTTAGTGAGAGGAGGCTGGAAGGGCCTGATCTTGTTCGTGAGACCGAGGTGAAGGTCCAGGTGATTAAAGACCGACTTAAGGCGGCTTCGGACCGACAGAAGTCCTACGCCGACCTTAAGAGGCGTGACATCGAGTATGCAGTCGGAGATAGGGTCTTCTTGAAGGTGTCACCTTGGAAGAATATCCTACGTTTTGGCAAGAGGGGAAAATTGAGTCCGAGATTTATAGGCCCGTACCCAGTCATTGAATGGGCGGGACCTGTAGCTTATAGGCTCGAGTTACCATCGGAGTTGAGCAAGATCCACGATGTGTTCCACGTGTCCATGCTCCGGAGGTACCGGTCGGACCATTCTCATGTAATCCCAGCAGATACGGTCACACTTGATGAGAATCTTATGAGGAGGAGCCGGTTGAGATTCTGGCTCGTGAGGTCCGTCAGTTGAGGAACAAAACCATTCCGCTGGTCAACGTTCTATGGAGAAGTCATACCGTCGAGGAGGCGACATGGGAAACCGAGGAATCCATGCGCACTCGTTATCCACATCTTTTTAGTGACCAGTGATCAGGTAAATTTCGAGGACGAAATTTTCTTAAGGGGTGGATAATTGTAACGCCCTGCAACCCGGTCTAATAGAATTGATTAATTTAATTAATTAATTACTGTTCCGGACCGGAGTTGGGGAAATTCAAAAGTTCCTAGAAAAATTATTTGATCATATCATTAAATTCATCTTGACTGTCTGATTCCAGAAACACAAACGGAACTCAATTCGGACCCGTTCGGGGGAAAGAGCGCGTACCGTTCAGGTCAGATTTTTACATTACGGAGTAAATAAGTTTTGTAACCTCCCTAGACCTTTGGTTCGGCTCCTTCAACACCCCCATCATTTCCATTTAATATCTTCTTAAATCACCATAAAACATCACCCTTATTATTCTCTTTTGGTAACCCCCCATTGTGAATTCAATCATCAACTCCATCATCACCATTCATCTTCTCTCCTCTCATTTTCGGCCAAGGCAAGCAGCAGCCCAGGAATCTCCGGTGAAACTCTGGTGGGTGCAAGGTTGAAGGAGAAGAAGAGCTAGGCCGTTCGAGCGAAGCGTAGTCGTCGTTTGTCCGTTCGTTAGCACCGTTCGTTCATCTCATTCCATCAACCCCTTCGTTTAGAGGTGAGTAGTTGTCCCTCTAATTCTAGAACATTTAGTTATAATCTATGTCGTTCATTCATAGGAATATCGTACGCGACCTACGTTGACTCTATGCATGTTCGTAGGTTAACCCTCCAACATACGTGAGCCCATGTTACCAAGTTATGTACCCGTTAATATAAATGTTTTGAAACCATGCAAGTTCATCGATTACTTATCGTGGAAATGAAAACATTTGTTTCTAAAACTTCCAACGTTTTGATGACAAACAAACAAATAAAATAGAAATCAGCGTGCCGTGATAATAGAGTTACAGGATAGTATAATCGATTATCAGGCCACGCCGGATTTCTCAGTTGAATGGGCACAGCGTGATAATCGATTATCCCATATGTGATAATCGACTATCAGGCCCTGCGGATTCTTGGGTCTGAGTTGGCTTCACTGATAATCGATTACCACACAGGCAATAATCGATTATCAGGTCTCTCTGAACCTAGGATTTTCCAGATAAACCAATTTGACAATCGATTGTCATAGGGTGACAATCGACTATCACAGTTTGCAGAACTTTGGGGACAGAAGCTGCACCACATGATAATCGATTATCAACAGTAGACAATCGATTATTAGCCAGTTCTGAACCCAAGGTCACCATGTTGGACAAATTGTAATCAAACACATATGTACGAATTGAATTTAACTCTCTTCTTCAATCAATGCATTCATTCCATCACGTTCTTTCTAGACGCATGATCTAGGATATCATCATGTGCATACCGCTGTAGGGAGGACTTCGTGCGCCTACTACAGTGGGCCCGTCTAGGAACCCTTGGGGTCCAACGGGTTTTCATCATGTTGGGCTTGTGTACGTACATAGTAGTCAGGTTACGGCTACTACACAGTTTTGCTAGTCCACTCGCGACATCTTTGTCTTGCCCGGCTCGTTACCGTTCGGGTACGGTGACCGGAGTGCAGGGGTGAACCTGTCGAGTGAGACTAAGTCAGGGGTGTCTCTGTTAGTTTAAGTCATGCATCAAGTCATATCATCATCATGTATGCTCCTATCACCTTGATATTTGTAATAGCTTAAACAGGTGGAAATTTAACAGTTAGTAACATGTGTTCTCCCGTACGTTAAGTACAGGTATTTATATGAGAGTAGCTATATGGCTTGTCACTTAATGTTCTTTTGTTAGATTCACTCCTCAGCTTATGCTGAGCGTGTAGTTGTCTTTGCTACACGCAGGTACACATGACGGTGCGGGTGCTAACCCTAGAGAGCAGTGACGACGGAGAGATGGGCGGCGCATAGACGGGCTTTTATTTATTTCCATAAACTTAATTAATTAATTGGGCATGAACCCACCCTTGTGGTTATTTAATTTGGACTAGACTTATTTATTTACTTCCGCATTTACTCTGCACTTTTATTACACACGTTTTGGGAGTAACTCTCTAGCATTTATTTCACTAATTTAAACCCAACTGTTTTCTCATTAAATAATCATTAATGTTTTTGTAACGGACGGTTCTCGGACAGTCCATGTAACTCTCTACCGGTCCGTTGGGTCGCGGGTGAACCAGGTCCATGGAAGGCAGGTGTTACAGTGACAAACGCCATAAAATCAGTATGATCATCACGAGCATACACCACACTACAGTGGCGCTCCTCTTAGGTCACCAAATAAAATGACTTGTTCAATTTTGCAAGAGGTTGAATGCCCAAAATTTGTCCCCGAATAGTGCTAAACTGCTCATCATCCAGTTCCAACAAAAAAAATTTTGGTTTTTGCCTTATCGACATCAGCACGTAACTTAGCCGCCGCCTCACATGTGCAGTTGCATGTCAATTCCTCGACGCCATATGATTTGTTCCGCAAAGTGACAAGCTAAATTGTAATAGACCACCACATTTTGACCTTTTTGTCTCAGGTTTTGCAACTCATTCTCAATCTAATAAATTCTAGGCTCATTCATGGTACTATATCTAGCCTTCAAATATACCACAATTCATGAAACACATTATCAGAAGTAATACTATGTTGTATCATCTAATCAACACTATTAAAAATCCAATTGCAGATCGTATAACTGTTTGCCTCACACGCCTCTAGTTTAGTGGGATTAGTAGGTTTAGGCATTCCCGTAGGAGACAAAAAAACCCAACTTACTGCATCCCTTTGGAGCATTGAAAATAGTTTTCTCTGAAGTATCAAAATTATCACCTTTTAACATATGTTTTGTCAGAGTATTACCTGTACCCTCACATGGATGAAGATAATATTCTGATGACGAGTCGTGAATCAAAGGAGTCTTCTTGGCAGAAATTGTCATCACAAGAGATCACGAACTAGGCGCGTAAACCGGAGAAATTTGTCAGCCAAAATTGTCAACCAAACAACAGCGCCCGACCAGACCTATCGTCGGAGAGAAGGTAGCCAATTAGAAAAACAAAAATACGGCGTCGGCCGATTAATCGCCCGCCTAAGAGCAGAGACGCGAAAAGCCTAGGGTTTTAGCTCCATTACCATGTAGAATTTTAGCAGAAATTGTTCTACTTTTCTTAATCACAAACCGATATATATATATATATATATATATATATATATATATATATATATATATATATATATATATATATATATACGACATATTTACAAATACCACTATTATCTACGACATATTTACAAATACCAGCTAACACGGGTCAAAAGATTCTTGTCAAATTATCTAAAATTATTTATATGGAATTACAACATAAGAGGGAAAAAGAAAAAAAAGTAGAGTTGTTAGGCTTCATTTAAAATCAAAATCCACAAATAAATCAAGTGAAGATAATAGTAGAAATATTAGATGGAGTTGACTTGATGTGTTGTACAGTATTTTAGAATCAGTATATAAGGAGCATGTGGCTCTTGAATTTTGTCTCTCACTTTTCCAACCTACACAACCAAGAGTCATTGGTGAAACCACCAATATCCCATGCCATTATCCTATTCCATACATGACAAATTTCCTATGCCGCATAATTTTTGAGGTGGTAAGAAAAACTCAAAATTGCGGTTACAAATGAAAGTACTTGGAAATTTTGAAGCCGATTTTTGTGGCCATGCAAGTAAAATTATCAATGTTCCCCTGCAAACATATAAATAATGCCCAATCCTCTCTTTTGATTCTCTTTCACCATACACTTTAATAATGTAAAATAAATGTATAGACCTATTAGATTACTCCCAAAATATCTAAAAATATATGTGTATAACTACATTAGCTACAAGTACTTAACTTAAAATCCCAGAAAAACAAAAAGATAAAAATGGAGACCAAATCATCAAGAAATAATACATCCGCTCTTCAAGTGGAAGAGGCGGCGTCACCGCTACCGGAGCATACTCCGATGTGGAAGCTTGTCTTGGTGGCGTCGATCGCCGCCGGAGTCCAATTCGGATGGGCCCTGCAGTTGTCCCTCCTCACGCCTTACATCCAATTGCTTGGAATCCCTCACAAATACTCATCATTCATTTGGCTTTGCGGTCCCATTTCGGGCTTGATCGTCCAGCCGCTAGCGGGCTACTATAGCGACAATTGCACGAGTCGGTTTGGCCGCCGCCGGCCTTTTATAGCCGGCGGTGCATTCCTCGTCATCACAGCCGTCATTCTCATAGGATTCGCCGCCGATATCGGCTATGCCACCGGTGACCCCCTTGGGAAAACCTCTAAACCCCGTGCCATTGCAATCTTTGTCTTCGGCTTCTGGATCCTCGACGTCGCCAACAACATGTTACAAGTATATATAAAAAGCAACATTTACTCGTAAATATTACTATCCCGTTTCACAAAACCATTTCTATTTGATAAAATGTTGGATTTGATGAAAGTGTAATCCAGGCGTCACTTTTCAATTTTGTTCTTAGATGTGATGATAGTATAAAATGCAATAGCTAAATGACTAATAATGATTAGATATGATGTGATAGATTAGTTAAGGTACTTGAGTAATAATTAGTAGGATAAATATAAAATTTAGTACGAACTCAAAAATGTTTTATGAGAAAAACAACAGGTGAAAAATAAAAAATATTTCATGAAACACAGCGATCCTTAGGAATTATATTTAGGAAGGGGTATATTCCATATATTCGTTCCATATATTCCTTCAGTTTGATTTTTTTAAAAATAAAAAATCAAACTGGCTAGGTGAAATTAACACGTCGTCAAATATGGATCTTTGCCATGATGGATATTATTGTTGTATTGTAGGGTCCATGCAGAGCGCTGTTAGCGGATCTCTCAGACGGGAATGCGGAAAAAACGAGGTTGGCAAACACCCTCTTCTCCTTCTTCATGGCGGTCGGAAACGTCCTCGGCTACGCCGCCGGCGCCTACCCCCGCATCTACAAGATCTTCCCCTTCGCCCTGACGCAGGCATGCGACGCCTACTGCGCCAACCTGAAGAGTTGTTTCATCATCTCTGTCCTCCTCCTCCTCACCGTCTCCGTCTGCGCGTTGACCGCCGTGAAAGAGAAGCGGCACACGGTGGAGAGCCGCCAGGGGGAGGCGGTGCAGAGGGTGGCGTTCTTCGGGGAGATCTTCGCCGCTTTAAAAAACCTGCCGCGGCCCATGCTCATCCTCCTCCTCGTCACCGCCCTCAACTGGATCGGATGGTTCCCGTTCATCTTGTACGACACGGACTGGATGGGCCGGGACGTGTACGGGGGCCACATAGGGGACAATGGGCTTTACGACAAAGGGGTCCACGCCGGGGCGTTGGGCCTGATGCTCCAGTCCGTGGTCTTGGGCTTCATGTCCATTGGGGTGGAGCTGTTGGCCCGCCACATCGGCAACGTGAAGACGCTTTGGGGCGGGGTTAACTTCATATTGGCCATTGGGTTGGCGATGACGGTGGTGGTTACCAAAGCGGCGGAGCACTCGAGAGCGTACGATGGTAGCGGCAACGTCCTTCCGCCGTCTGTTGGCGTCAAAGCCGGAGCTTTGGTCATCTTCTGTGTCCTTGGTATTCCTCTTGCAGTAAGTCCAACCGCTATATATACATCGATCTCTAAAAAAAATATACTCTCTCCACCCATCCAAAAATAAGATCTTCATTTGATTTTCAAAATCTAGACATTATAGTCATTACTCTCACTTCGAAAATGATTTCTCATTTGACTTTCTCCTTTACATTTAAAATTTTGGTCTCGCTATATAGAAAAAATATATCGTGTTTTAATATAAATGTAATATAAATATTTTTCTTATTAAAAAAGTTTTGAAATATTAAATTTTCATAAATTATGTTAATGTATAAATATAGATATTAATGATCAAATTGTTTTATTAGAAATCGGAAAATATCAATTGAGAAGATCATTTACAGAAGGAGAGAGTAATGTATATAATTATCATACATAATTATTTACAAAAATATGATATTTTAAAATTACTCCATATTAAACTTTTATTACACTCTCTATCCCATGTGTTTATATATAAAAAAATATTAATAGTCAAAGTATCGTATGGGAGAGAACGTGAAAAATCAAATGGGGAGAAAGATATCGGTTAAAGGGAAGATTATTAAATAATTGTTTTTTTTCAAATTTTGTACTCCATCCGTTCTCAAAAACACTTCCTCTTTCATTTTTTCACTTCCAACAAAACACTTCCACTTTCTACTAAAAAACCACTTTTACCCTTACCTTTTCATACCCTACCTATCACATCATACTTTATGGGGCTGTTTGTTTCAGTCTTTTAATGGTTCAGATGTCTGAATGGTTCATCACTTAATGGTTCAGACTGTTTGTTTCAACCTCTTAATGGTTCAGATGTCTGAATGGTTAAGAGATTTGCCTCTGAATGGTTAAGTATTATACAGAGTCTGAATGGTTAAGACCTCTTATCTGAATTATCAGACATTTGCCTCTGAATAGTTAAGCAATATACTAGCTCTTAATGGTTCAGACCTCTTACTAGTTCAGCACTTAATGGTTCAGATCTCTTACTGGTTCAGCACTTACCGATTCAGAAGTTGCCAAACAGCCCCTATCTCTAATAATCTATCCATCACATCTTACTTTTACCTATCACATCAAGGGCAAAATTGGAAGTCAACTATAATTTAATACTTCTTTATTTTTACACAAAGTCAAAAGAGGAACACTTTTTCCAAATGGATGGAGTATTAGTTTTATTTAAATTTGATTCTAAAAAGTCAAATGAGTACCTTCGCTTTAGATAGGGGCGTTTTACAAAAGAATAACTTTGGGTTAGTTTAATTTGATTTCTCTATATATTACTTCTATATTAATTTTTTGGGTTAGTTTAATTTGATCGATTATAGAGAAATAGAGAATAAATAATGTCTACTCTCGATTCTAATTTTGCCTTTTTTTTTGTTTAATTGTGTAAATGGTAGGTGACATACAGTATTCCATTTGCTCTAGCGTGCATATTTTCAAGTGATAATAATGCTGCTGGTTCTGGCCATGGTACGTAAAACTTCACTAAAGTTGCACTTCATGGATAAATACTGTGTGTTTTTGTTCTAGCTTCACCATCTATCTTAATTCAAAATAAACTTTACCTTTTTTATTTTTCTGAAAATAAACTTTACATTTAATTTTAAATAAGTATCGGAACAAATCACATACTGAGTATATTTACTTCATTACATATATTTTAACCATAAATATTTAACTTTTTCTTAAACATCGTGATAAGCATAGTAAAAAGTTAAGCTTACGAGGGAGTATTAGTTTGGTATATTAGACCTATCTAGATCTAGAGGTGCTTCGCGCCATCTTGGCATTTCTGACACAGGAAGTGGACGCAATCCGTGATGGTCCCTGATATCATTTTAAAATATCGTAGATTTTTCTTATTTCAATGGTTCAATGTCAACGCAGGATGAACCTAAAAACCATCGGTATCATGCCATTTTAAACGGAATAGTACAATACCATTTAATGTTCAAATCGTGTCAAAAAGTTTAAAATGCATAATCAAATAGGAAGTAATTTTAAAGCAGAAGCATTATTTTGTATAGAAAAGCACAATTTTTTTAAAAAGTAATGATTTCAAATTTAAAAGGATTGTAAACATAGACGATAATGAGTAAAAATTTTAAAAATAATGTATTTTTTCAATTCATATAATATCAGACCATTATGAACTTTACAAAATACTTCGTAATGCTTATAGTAGTAATAAATATAATAAAAACTATAATAATTAAATGATATAAAAAGAAGAATAATAAAATACAAAGTACTCCATATATGGTATAAGTCTGTAAGATGATGTAAACAAATACATACTGGACATACTGATCTGTAGACAACTTGGAATGTTTTAGTTTGTGATAATCAGTTTAAAATTGAGGAATTTATCTAAATAACACTAAAACACAAATAGCATCATATATTTTTATTTCCCAATTTAGCACTTTTAGTCATTATCCATTAGTCATTATTCAAGTAAATATTTACCATCATTGGATATTACTCTTTCTTCTAGAAATCATTAAGTACTATTTAAGGAATAAATAAGTTTAAGTTCTACATTGGGAAATAACATATTTTAGTGCTAATTATTACAAATATTTCTTTAATTTTTTTATTTTACCATTTTGTCTCGTTTCATATCAGTTTAGGATAGAAAAAATCAACCTATTTTAAAAATATTATAGACAATTCGGTAATATTATTGTCCGATATGATATTATGTTAGTTCGATCTTTTTGCCCACTAAACACAATTATACCCATAAAATGGGCTAAGGGACAGGAAAGGAGACTGTGCTAGGCCTTGGACTTGGAAATGGCCCATGAAAATTGGGAATTAATAGTGGACGATTGCATGGATGCCAAAGCGGACTAGTCTGGCAAAAGACTAGGTCTGCTTTAAACTTTTGGGCTTACCATTATTCGCCCAAATTTTTTTTGTGCAGCTTTAGGTAAACAAATAAAAATTGAACTTGTACTCCATTCATTCTAAATTAATCGTTCTTTTACGAAGAACGTGCAAAATCTAATTTTTTTTAAATTTTATTTATAAATTCGTATAGAAATAAAATGAGACAAATAGTGACATTTTTTATTTTGAAATTAAGAATTAAAATGCATTACAAAAAAAATTATTGGAAACTCAAATAGTAAATAGAACAATTAATTTAAGATCGGACGAAGGGAGTATTTTATTAGTGTAGGGGGTGATGCTGTCTTGTTTCTTGCTCTTCTACACGTAGAGTGACATTGTCCGTGAATTAAGTTTGCTTTTTAGAACTTTAGGTGTAATTTTTAAATATGTAATTTTATTTTTAGTTTTTATATCAACCTTTAAATAAAATAAGTTTAAAAAATTTAGAAATTTTACTTCGTTTTGTCTAAAGTGTAAGACATTTTGGGACAAAGGGAGTATATATTTTTATTTTTAAAATTTGCACTTGTAATAAAATAAATTAAATTGAAAATAACTTCAATCAAACCTAGTAAAATATAACGCTATATCGGGAAAAATATTTTAGGATAGAGGAACTAATTATAATTGAAATTGCACAAACAAATTTGATTTTTCAAGATCTCCCATGTAGCACTATGTATTTAACAAGTACGTATTCCTTCTCTTTTATCTCTATCTTGTCATTTGACTTTTTACAAGGAATACGTACTTGTCAAAAGAAAAGTATAAATTTTATGGGAAGCGTGTTGTGAAATCGAGGGGTATCTATTTATATATAAATTATAAACATAGTTTGTAAAATATGATATTTGAAACTACGAAATAGAACTAATCTATTAATATTAAATTTATATCATATTTTAATGTATTTTTTCCGTAATGTGTGGTTATAATTTAAAAAAGTTGAGTACAAAAATTAAAATGGATAGATTTAAAAAAAGTGAATATATAATTATTTTTAAAATTAGTAAAGTTTATTTTAACTGTTTAAATAATAACATAACTAAGCATCACGAGGTGTATTTAGTTGTGAGTCAATGCATAACACGGGATGAAGAAAAATTTTGAAAAAAAATAGAGTGAAATTAGTGTCGGGTGAGATTAGTCTTTTGATAGGGTACCGTCACCACCCTTTAATATACTCTACCTATTTTTTATTTTTTATTAAGAATAATTTGATAAACTTCTACTTTTTTCAACTTTTTTAGAGTGATATATATAAAGTCAATCTGAGAAAAGTTCTACGGAACGAAGAAAATTGTTCTTTTTGCTATTTTTTGCCTCAAAAAACACTTCAAGTACAAACTTTTTAATGAGGTAAAGGGAGTACGTAGTATATTTTTGTATGATCTTTTGGTACAAAAATACTCCTTACGTATGTGTGTGTGTCTAGTTATGCACATGCCTACTTCTGATTTTTTTATAATGCCTACTTCTGATTTAATTCCATAATTTCATACTACTTTCGTCCCACTGTCTTTGTCTACTTTTGACTTTTGAAACTGTTCATCTAAGCACTTTGACTCAACAAATTTTCTCAATGTGTAAGCCTAAAAATAGTCATGTGTGATCTTGTTTGATTCGTCTTAACATATAGATTATTAAGATATAATTTTTATAATTTTTTAATATACAAATTACAAGATAAAATGGATTAAAGAAGTGCATTGGATGGTGTGCCAAAAGGTAAGTGGACAAAAACAGTGGGACGGAGGGAGTATTTTTTTCTGCATCTAATTTTGTTATAAAATTCCATTACGTGCAGTGGGACTCTGTTTGGGCGTTCTCAACCTTTCAATTGTCATGCCACAGGTGCGCTTCCCATTAACTACATCAATTTGATACATCAATTCAATTAGTGCATAATGCATAACCCTCCTTCCTCGTCATCAATTTTATTTTCGTTTTTTCTATAAAAATAGTTGATTCTTGTCATTGAAACGAGGATTTTCCTACACTTTTTAATGCTGTTTTATAATTTAGTTTCGAGGTAAATTTCACTAGTGCCCAAACATTGAATGATATATCATTTTGGTACCTACCTAAGTTGTATTTTCTTTAACGAAAATACTTTAACATTGAATAAATTTCACAAAAATATTTGTAGCCGGCTTCAAGGTTACTGTCAAGTTATTTCGTGCGTAATTATAATTTTATATGTTTTTATTTTTTAATTTTGATCCTACAATTTTCCCATTTTCTCAGATTTTCTCTCCTTTCTTCTTCAAAGAAGGTGGAAATGAGATTGCTAAAGTATAAAGGAGAGGGAATCTAAGAAAAGAAGAAAAGCAGTGCAATCAAAATTAAAAATTAGAGATATAGTAAAACCCATTTACGTCGAAAATGACTCGACACTTCTTGAAAACCGGCTAGGTCAAGGCATTTTTGTGAAAATTATATTATTCAAAGTTCAAGTACTCTTTTGAGAAGAAATAAAGTTTAGAATAAAGGAGAGGGAATCTAAGAAAAGAAGAAAGGCAATGCAATCAAAATTAAAAATTAGAGATATGGAGAATAAATTCCCAATTACGTCGAAAGTGACTTGACAATAACTTGAAAGCAGGCTAGCTCCAGGTACTTTTGTGAAAATTTATCAAAGTTCAAGTACTCTTTTGAGAGAAAATAAAGTCTAGATACAAAACTAATAAATTGTTCAAGTTCAATTACCATTTGTGAAATTTATCTTTCATTTTGCATTCTTTTTCAAATAAAACTGAATTGTCTTCTGATTCTAGAAAAATGTAGGTGGGTTATCATTTCTAAAATTAGAATTAATTTTAAGTGTTTTATCTAAAACTTTTAATTGTTCTATTTCCAAAATATGTCAAGTTTAAGAATAGAGATAATCAGATAAATAAGGAATCTAATGTATTGGGGAATAGAGTCTTCATTATTCATGACAATGCCAATATGCTCTTCACATAATCACATGATTCTTGTGATAACTTACAATAATTCATTCATGACAATGCTAATAATTTTATTTCAATGTATTGGGGAAGAGCATCCTATCATTTCTTTCCCCTCAATTCTACCTTCATGGCGAGATTAGGGCAACTAAATTGTGCAATACAAAGCGACTACAAAAATATTGATTTGAATTTTGGGTTGAATTGATTTTTGAAATGTATTTGATATATATATGTTGAAATGGAATGCATGGATGTGTAGATGTTGGTGTCATTCTTAAGTGGACCATGGGATTCCCTATTCGGAGGGGGCAACTTGCCAGCATTCCTAGTAGGCGCGGTGGCGGCAGCGGCTAGTGGCATATTGTCAATCACACTTCTCCCAAAACCACGTTCCGATGTCACAATTGCAATACCATAGCCAGGCTTAGCTTACACCATCCCATGCATATATGGATTCTATGTATATATTATGATAATATATATGTTGGTTTATCATCAATGATCATATCGAGGGAGAATTGAAGTTTAAGGGCGGGAGGGTGGTACATATCAAATTTGGGTCACATGTCTTCAATTCAATTCGATTAAATCTTAAATTGGGTTCCAATTTTTTCTTCTTTTTATTGAAAGAATGGAATTTCATGGCAATGATATGGACGTCGTCTATCTCTTTTCTGTTTAGTGGAGAAGATATATGCTACAACTGTACATGCTCCTTTATTTGGATGCACAACTTTAATGATTCATCTCATCTTTAATGCTAATTCATGGTGATATTTTTGGGGGATACGAATTAAATATATGCATGCATATGGGTTTTTATATTCCTCTAACTCCTTATGGAGTACATTCAATGGCAGATCCATCTGCAATGCGCCTATTGAGCTTCATTGTCGTTGTTTTTGGCAAAATAATATTTAACTAGCGTTGTAAATAATTTTTTAATGGTAGAGATGATTTTCGATAGTATTAATAATGCTAAACACTTCTCCATATTATTGGATATACTTTTCTAGGGATTATGCTTGGGGGACCCTAATTTTGACACCATTTTTCACTACACTCTTCTTAGTACATACATATAAAGACATGGAACACTACCGGATGTCTATGAATATCTATAAAAAGTTGAGGTCAATGCTAGTTTCACGTTGTTGGCTAAACTTATTAGGCAAAATAAGATTTCTTATTTATTAAGAATTTCACTAGATAGAAACATCTTTTTGTTCGGGGAGGTTGGTTTTGTACTTTTGTTTGGACTCCTAGAGTTGCTAAAATTTTTGAGTTAGAGTGACGGGATCAAAAGTCTATGCATGAAACATAAAGCCGCAGTCCGTAATTCTTAGAGTTAGAGTCCTATTGGGAGTTGTTCATACTTCTTGTGATTTATCTATTAATGGTGAGCTGTTATATTGAATCGTTATCAAACTTCTTGAAGAAAAAGACTAAAAAAGTTGTATTCAAGACAACTTTTAATTACGTATTCCTACTATAGAATTGAGTTTGAATAGGCCTATAAATACGCAGCATACATGCTAATCTAAGACCCTTCTGATCGCCTCCCGAAGCCATCCTTGCGTGAAGAGGTTGTGATCTGCATGAAGAAGGAAATCTTCAACGCCAAAGAGATCGTAACATCTAGAAAATGAACATGAACTGAAGGAGATGGCTGCCAACACATTTGCCCTTGTGATCTCGATGGAGATGTGATAGGCGAAACAGATATGTAAAGGGTACTAGTTAGAAATCCTAGATTAGAGATTTTATCATTTATATAGTGGAGATTTATTAGAGGAAGTAATCCATATCTAGAGATTTATTAGAGGAAGGCTACTATACAAACGTGGGCTCCGCAGAGCAGGAGATTTTCTTCGAACTGCATAAACATATCTAGTATTTTTTTACGCTTTTTATATCTGCTTTTGCGTGTGCGCGAATTATCAAAGTCCAAATATGATTTTGGATTTGTCTAACTCTAATCATATCAAAATATTTCGAGTTTATTGGTTTGGATTAGAAAAGTTAAATTCTAATTTTTTTTCACATCTTTTTGATAATATCTGCTAACTCCTTCGAGATACTTCCAACTCTTTCTAATTGCTTCCAACTCCGACCTTTCTAGTTTCTTCCAACAACGACTAAAAAAGTATTTACATTTGATAAATATATACAATAACATTGTATATTGTTAGCGGGTATTTGTATTTTGGAATGTAAAATAGTTTATCGGGCCCACTTGTTAACCTAGCCCGCTTTGTATTCTTGTATATATATGACTACTCTTGATTAATGAAACAAGATCGGTCATTTATCAATTTTACGGTTTTTCCATTCCAGGAAAAGTTTGCCGCCTACGGAAATCCTTATATGGGCTCCGCCAGTCTCCACATAACTGGTTTCATAAACTCAGTACTGCCCTTCGTCAGTGGGGTTTTAAACAGGCCCATAAGGATCATACTCTGTTTATTCTTCGTAATGGCCCTGATATCCTTACAGTCTTGGTTTATGTTGATGACATCTTGGTTGCAGGCAATAATTCTACTTTATGCACCTCTTTCAAACGCTATTTGGACAGGTGTTTTCAGCTCAAGGATTTTGGCCCGATCAAGTATTTTTTGGGCATTGAATGTGCTCGCTCTGCTTCGGGTATGGTGTTGTGTCAACGCGAATATGCGTTGGAAATTTTACAAGAGGCCAGGCTTATGGGATGTAAACCCGCGGATACGCTGTTACCCACGACGCACACACTCGGACGGTCGACCGCGGCTGCTCTTCACAATCCCGCGCGGTACCGCCGTCTTGTGGGGCGGCTGATTTATCTCACCATTACTAGACCAGATATTTGCCATTCTATCCATGTCTTATCTCAATTTATGCAGGCCCCTACTCTGGATCACATGAATGCCACCCTACGTGTTCTTCGCTACATCAAGGGTCACCCTGGTTAGGGCATCTTTCTCAGCGCCACCAGCAATCTACAAATTTCGGCTTATTGTGAGTCTGATTGGGCCAGTTGCCCGTTATCCCGTTGGTCTGTTAGCAGGTTTTTATCATGCTAGGCACTTCTCAAAGTGTCATGGAAGACGAAGAAACAAACCACTGTTGCTTGATCTTCTGTAGAAGCTGAGTACAGGGCTATGGCATTTGCTTGTGTGGAGGTCCTCTGGATGCGAGGGATTCTCATCACCTTGGGTGTGCCTATTTTATATCCTCCCCAATTATATTGTGACAATCAGTTAGCTTTATATATTGCGGCCAATCCTGTTTTCCATGAACAAATGAAGCATGTGGATGTTGATTGTCACACTGTTCGAGAGAGTGTCCAGCGGCATGAGGTCTCGACAAGATATGTTCCAACAAGATACCAATTGGCAGATATATTCACTAAACCTTTAGAAAAACCCAGTTTTGACTTTTTGTTGTGCAAGTTGGGCATTCAGGATCTTCATGCGCCAACTTGAGGGGGAGTGTTAGCGGGTATTTATATTTTGGAATGTAAAATAGTTTATCGGAACCACTTGTTAACCTAGCCCGCTTTGTATTCTTGTATATATACAACTACTCTTAATTAATGAAACAAGATCAGTTATTTATCAATTTTACATATATCCAAATTTATAACATACCACCTCAAACGCAAAAGGATAAATTCTTTTTTATCCAAAATGAGTTTTCTTACATACTCCCTCCGTTCCACAAAACTCTTCCTCTTTCGATTTTTTTGAATTCCCTAAAACACTTCCACTTTCTATTAAAAAACCACTTTTACCCTTACTTTTTCATACCCTACCTATCACATCATACTTTTTCTCTAATAACCAAACTATCATATCTTACTTTTACCCATCACATCAGGGGCAAAATTGGAAAGTCTACAAAAATTACACTTTCCTTATTTTTGCCAAAAGTCAAAAGTGGAAGGGTTTAAAGGAACGGAGGGAGTATTTATTTAGGTGATTTTTTAAGAGTTTATTTTTTCAACATTTTCTAAGTACTTTTAGTTTTTTCAACTCTTTTTATTTTCTTCCATCCCTTTCCAATTTCTTATACTCCCTCCGTCCCTCTTTTGATTACAATTTTTTTCTCTCTCATCTCGATAACTTTTGTTTATTTACGCAATTTCATTAAGTATTTGATAGAATAAAATATTCTTGTCACCTCTTGTTTTGTAGAACTTTTGACATAGTTTTTTAATATGTAATTTTTATATATCTTATTGATATACCAATTTGTAAATAAAATGATTTCAAAAAGTGAAATTTTTTTCCTCGTAACCCGCAATTTGTAATCAAATTGGGGACGGAGAGAGTATTTTTTTATCAATATCTAACAATGTTTTTAGAACCTAAACGAATATAGCCTAGATGTGGTTAAAGATGCCATACATTTAATATTTTTTCTTTTCTAAAGGTTGAAACTATTGTCAAATTAATCGGGCCATAAGGATCTTTCTCTTGATTAGGGTCCCTTAAGGACCGAAGGAGTGTGTTGTGAAGTTCGTACGCTTGGTCCCCACATGATAATTTAGAACTTGCCTTTTTTAAAAAGGCATAAATTCGACAAAGCATATTTCCCATTTTTAAATCATAAGTGCCAGCAAATCAACAATATACTTCCACCATCTTAAATTAACTTAGGTGTGTTCATTTCAAATTGTGTAGGTTGTTTTTGGATTTCAAAAGTTACTGAGTATTCTTTACAAATTTTAAAAGTTTATTTAAAATCTGAAGATATTCAGATTATATTTTAAAATTACTATCAAAATCTAATGATATCAAACACGCCATAGATTTGGAAAAATTTATATTTTTATTTTTTTTGAACAAAGGGCAGCATCATTAATGAAACAAATAGTGTACAGTGTAAGTCTCTACCAATACTACACTACACTACATTTCCACTTTAGATCCAAACATAAGAGCTTAATTTGAACTTAATACTCCCTCTGTCCCTAAGTATTTGTTCACTTTTGATTTTTTTTTATCAGAATTTGTAAATTTTGACCTCAAATTAAATAAAAATGATATTAGATATTGACAAAATTAGTTTTATTTAATTTACTATATCATTCATTTTCAAAATACTATTTTATCTACTTATAATATAATATATATTTTATTTAATTATAAATATGATGTTTTGATAAATCCAATAATCTTGTTTGATGCATGACGGTAAGCTAGAGTGTTAATACTAGTTGATAGGTCGCTAAATGTTATTGAATATTATAATGACTATTGTTTGGAATGATTATGTTGAATTTATGAACCTACTAATTAAAATGATTATTGTGATTGAACCATGATTTAAAATGAATACATTGATAATTATGAAATGATTGTATTGAAAAGGATATCTAGAAGAACTCTAAGATAATCCGATCATGTTGACATTGGCTTCTAATATTATCTAGAAGACATCTAAGGTAGATTAGAAATAGGTCTTGCGGGTATGACTAAGAATATTCGGTGGCTTGGGTAAAAATGTACGTACGGGATCTTCAAACCAAACTAGAGGATCACTCGTTTGGGGATACCACCCAACCCGACAGTGAGCATTCCGTTGTTCAGTCATTGTTTACCTTAAGTTAAGACTAGTTTAAGAGTTGGAAAATCTTTTGAAAACTTGTACCTTAAACTATATTAGCTTAAGAGTTGGATAGAAGTACCTTAAACTAGAATTAGTTTAAGAGTTGGTAAACATTAATGGAACTAGCCTTAGACTTAGAATAGTTTAAGGATATTGTTGACAAATGTTGAAAAAAACATATATATGAATGTTGCATATCGATTATTGAATTATTGAACTGAACATTATGTGCATGATATCAAATGATTTGATTATGAATTGAGATTCAATTTATATGGATGTTCGACGCATTAGATTTGCTTACTCAGCTTTACCGCTGAGCGTGTAGTATGTTTTATTTGCTACACGCAGATAAAGAAAAAGAATGAAATGATGATTTCCTAGAGATAGACGGGGCGAGATGGTCATGGTGGATGTGTGAAATGAATTACTGTTTAAAAGAGCCATAAATTTATTATGTTGTAATTGTTATTTATTAAGCTTCCGCAACTCTAAGTACTCCGTTATTATTCCAAGTAAGTTATTATGAAATAAAGTTTTAAATCTTTGAAATATTTTTGAATGTTTTACGAATACCAAATTTATACTTTAGTCCGAAAGGGGCTACAGCATGAGTTTGAAATGTCTAATCTTGGTAATTGGTATGATGTATTTCTTCTTGGGCATTGAGGTTGAACAAATTGCCTCTGGAATCTTCATATCCCAGAAGAAATACACACAAGAAATTCTGGAAAGATTTCAAATGAAGGATTTAATCCTGTGAATACACCAATTGAGGTTGGTTTGAAGCTAACTAAGCAATCTGAAAGATGAGAAGTGGATAGTACTTTATTCAAAGTGGGAAGTCTAATGTATTTGGCAACAACAAGGCTTGATATAATGCATGGATTAGCCTCATTAGTAGGTATATGGATTGCCCTAATGATTCTTATTTTCAAGCTGCAAAAAGGATGCTCCGGTACTTGAAGGGAACTATTGGATATGTCCTCCTTTACAAACAAGGGTGAAAAACCAGTACTTTATGGCTTTACTGATAGTGACCATGCAGGTGATCTTGATGATAGGAAGAGCACATCAGGATATGTATTCATGATGGGCTCAACGACAATTTCATGATCCTCTAAGAAGCAAACAATTGTTAATTTGTCAACTACAGAAGCTTAATATGTAGCTGCAGCTGGTTGTGCTTGTAAAACTATTTGACTCAAGAACATTATTCTTGAATGGTTGTATTTTAAGCAAGAGACAACTTTGATTTACTGTGATAATAGTTCAACAATAAGACTCTCAAGAAATCCAGTATTTCTGGAAGATGTAAGTACATTGATGTACGGTTCATTTTCTCGGAGATGGAACTACTGAGCTCCTCTTTTGCAGAATTGAAGATCAACTTGCGGACATAATGACAAAACCTTTGAAGATTTGAATTTTTCAATGGTTAAGGAAACTGTTGGGTGCTTGTGACTTGTGAGCCTCCTTAAACCGAGAACATACTCAATATTTTAGTTTAAGGGAGGAATGTTGAATAAATCAAGTCGAATAAGTTATGTTGAATAAGTTCGTACTTTTACTATTAGTCAAATTACAGTTGTTGTCCTATTGTTTAAGAAGTGACTACACACTTTCTCTCGCTTTCCTTTCTTTTATTAAAATTAATTTGTTTCTGTTCATTAATTGTACTGTCTATAAATTAGCTTAGCTATTGAATAATGAATTTTCAAGTCCTCTTATTCTCATGTGTTGTTTACGAGAGTATTTAGTTATATTTCTCTAATAGATTTTTTTCTATAAACATGCCTACAACCTGTTTGATAAAAGTTCCCAAAAAACCAATTCAACATATCTCCCATGTTTTCAAGAAGGAAAGGAGTATTTTATAATAATAAGCTCAAACGAAAATGACAAAACTCTAAAAATAAAACTTCCATTCAATATGAAAAATATCATACAGGCAACAGAACAGAAGTCAATTTCCACAAAATAGAGAGGATTCTGACTTTTATTCTAAGAAGACAGCGTCGGAAGATTTCCAAAGTGCCCCATAGCTTTTTTAAAAAAAAAAGAAAAACCCGTTTCTTTTAACGGGACGATGTTCTTTCAACCTGTACAGAAGAAATTACAGGCGGCACAAAATTAACGATGCGGACGACGACGACTCTCAAACGAGTAGCGAGGGAGTTAATTATTTCCCCTGTTACAACAGCTGACAACTTTAGAGAAAAAAAACAGATAAAGATAGATACAAGAGGTGCATGTATATGTGTGAGGAAATTTAATTAATTAATTAAATCTGCTCCTCCTCGATCAGGACTGGATATGGTCTCAATGGAAACCACCGGCGGCGGAGAGCGCGACATCGCGCGGCGGAGATGGAAGAAGGGTCATCGCGAAAATCCCGCTTGCGGCGGCCGAAATCGCTCCCACCACAAATGCCGGCAGGTTCCCTCCTCCGAACAGCGAGTCCCACGGCCCGCTCAAGAACGACACCAGCATCTGCCACGGGTCAAAAGATAGATTTATTTAACCTCACGAATAAAAGTAAAAATTCCGTAAATAGTTCTCCGTAAATGTGTCCAAATGACTTTTTAATTATTGATTTAAAAATGATATAATATGATTTATAAAAAAAATTATTTTAGAAAAATTATGTAAATTTGCATTAAATATTACTAAAAAAATATGTTCTTTCTTAATTTAATGTTTAAATTTTTTTATTTTCTAAATACTACTCCGTACATGAATAATGTTTAGGGGTGAGAACAATATGTTATGATGGTAAACATTTAGTTTAAATAATATCGAGTGACGCTGGACATTTACTTGAACGATGACCAGTGAGTATTGAACAGTGATACCATATTGAGAAATAAAAATAAATGGTATTACATTATAAAAGTCACTATATTTTAATACAGCGTACCATTTAGGTAAATTTGCACTTACAAAAAATATGTTTTTTCCTAATTTAGTACTCAAAAATTATAGGACAATAGTATTTCATCTAAATATAAATTTTACATTCTTTTTTTTTGTGTAAAATATGGAATGATTTATATTAATCTTATTTTAAAAAAATAATTTAAATGGCGCGATCTTATTTTATTTAAATCGAATAAAAAGTTAATGAATTTTTAATTTTGAAATGCGGGAATACATAATACAGTGGTACGTGGAAGCTACGTTGTACCTGCGGTATGACAATTGACAGATTGAGGACGCCTAACGAGAGACCTGCGGAAGGAAGTAGAAAATGTAAAATGCACTTGTCGTGACAAAAGATAATTCACGTGTATCTCTATTATTATTACTATCCAAAATATCCTAACATTATTGACAAAATAAGAAAAAAGAAGAAAAAAGACAAAAAACAGTCAAATGAAATTTCAACAATGCTCCTCCATCCCAAAAACTTTTTGTTCTTTCTTTTTTTTCCCACAAAGTCTATCTTATTCTATTAATAAATTATTTTTATCTCTATTAATTCTTACCTATTTATCTCATCATATATTTTTACTAAAAATCTACACATCGTATTCTAATTTACCTATCACATTAATGATATATTTAGAAAATCAACCAAAAAATATTCTTTTTAAATTTCTCAAAAATCAAAACATTAATATCTCTATGAGACAAGAAATATAAGCTAGTGTTTGAAAACTAGCATTTCATTTTAACTCTTATTCTAAAATTTAAAATTTTGAATTTTAAAAAATAAAGAAATACATGAAGTTTTCATAAAATCCATATTTAAAATATGAATTTTCTCACATTTTTTATGACCTAGATGTAAATTTTTCTTTTCCAAAAGTTTACTTTTTTATACTACAAATACACTAAGATTCAGGATATGAATATAAATCTTAGATTCAGACAAGAATTTGCCTTACATAAGTGAAAAGAATCTTCATGGGCAGAGGAAGCGACTAAAACAAAAACTAAAGGTGTTTTACTAAAATAAGGTGTTTCATTCCGAAATCACTGGACTATTTTTAGAAAATCATGAATCCATAAAATGAATCACACTAAATATTAATGTGAAAAGAATCCTCAAGGAGTGAATAAAATAAACTATAGGAGTTTAACTAAAATTAGGTGATCCATTCCGAAATCACTAACTATTTTTAGAAAATCATGAATGGATAAAATAAATCACACAAAATAATAATGTGAAAAGAATCTTCAAGGAGTGACTAAAACAAACTAAAGGAGTTTTACTAAAATTAGGTGATTCATTCCGAAATCACTAACTATTTTTAGAAAATCATGAATCGATAAAATAAATAACATAAAATAATTAAATTGCTCCGTCAATTGGACGGCAGGATTAAATTAAAACAAACATAAATTTCTCGACGAAATTAAAATACGTTAACCTATCTTTATCAATTGGACGGAAGGATTAAATTAAAGTAATTAAAAACGTTAACCCATCCTTGTCAATAGGACGGCAAGGAGTAAATTAAAGTACAGTGCGACTAAGTAAAGCATTAAGAGCACCATTATTGAATTATTTGTCGCTTATGGACATTTTATAGTGTTACTGCCTAACCCAAGCTATTGCTCCGTACTAAAACAATAGAATTATTATCAAACGAGTCACTGTAGAGTTGAACACTCGTAGTCGTGCCCAATAATAAATACCTGGAGTAGATAAATGATTGGTGTTTGAAAATCATCCTTTATTAGTCATAATTGCAAAATGTATATATTCCTATTTTAAAATTATTGTCCTAATTTGTGTTTTAATTAAAGCTTTGATTACAGATGTTTAAAACTATATATTTAATTATAATGTAAAATTAATATAATTTAATTTATTTTAAAATTTAATTTTAATATATTAAACTCTTATACGGAGTACTTTGTAAGATTTGTTTATTTAAAATAATATTTAAGATAAGGTTAAATAGAAACTAAATTAGGACAAAATTTTGAGACAAAGAATTAGACCTTACGTAAATAGGACTAAAACATAATTATTCTCTCAATATACTCCGTATAATTTATAAACCCGTAAAGTAAAATGTATGGTCTATATTAATTCCTAGTGCAAAATAAATAAAACCACACAAATTACTTTTAAAAAAATATGCACAAAACCAAATGAGAAGGATAAAATAAAAAGGGGCACAGTAGTCTGTATATCAGGACTTTAAATACCGGAGTAGAAAAAAGCAATAATGGTGAAAAGTAACGGTAAATTCAAAAACGATAAGAACTCCAAAATTTCTTTGGTTCTGTTAAAATTAATTATTTTAGGTGGGTTTTCATGATAATAGAAAGTATGGTCCTCCCTCTAAAAGTAGCCCACATTTGGCGACAATTTTGAAGAGAAAAGAACAGTGCTCGGTAATTATATGGAGTGTTTTTCTTGTTGTCAGTTGTCACTTACTTTATTTCTCACTTTTGTTTAAGGATTGTAATTATATTTAAAAAAATATTGAATGAAATTCTCATTTCTAGGTATCAATAGCCCTATTTTATGAACATAAATAAATAAACTATGGGTAATGGTCAAAAGGCAAAAGCAACTGTAATTCTGTAAAAAAATAAGAAATGGCCGGCCTATTTTTTTTTGAATAAATTCTTAAAATAGTGATTTGTAATAAGGTATTTCTTCAATTCATTCTTCAATAAATAAATTCTAATTACATGCATTGTCCTTTATAATTGAGATTTATTTTTTAGGTAGTCCTTCATGATTAATTAAAGGGTACTATTTCGTAAATCTATTATTTAAATTTAAAGTATATTTTTAAAATGGTCATTTCTACATTGATTATAGATAATCTATGAATTATTAAACAACCGCCTCAATGGCTCCCGCCCATTGCGAGGTAAGGGGGTCAGATCTACGCAGACCCCTATACCTTATGAATTATTAAAAACTTATAAAAATATCTTTTAAAATTTATATCAAATACATATCTTTAATCAGAAAAACTCAATTTGAGAAAGTACTTTATTAGAAATAATCATTTTAAGAACGTATTCTAAATTTAGTTGATAAAATACCAAAATATTTTCTAATTAATTATCATTTGAGTAATATTATTTACAAAAGACTATCAAAAGAATAAATCTCAGTTCTAGAGGACGATGTAAGTAATTAAAATGTACTCCGGCACTAAGAATTGATTTAAGAAAATATCTTATAGAGATAACCATTTTAGAAATTTACTTTTTTTGTACTCGTATTCACAGTATTAAGGTAGTAACACTGTACTGAATAGATTGCCTATTTTAGTAAAACACCGTGAAAATTTAGAAAATACTTTACTCTCCAGTGGGTAAAAGAATAAAGGTAGATAAAATAAAGAAAGTTAGTAATATTTAAAAACTGATTCCCCTTTCTTTTTTATCTTTATCCCAAAATACATTTCTTATTCAAAAATATTATTTTTCTCTCTATAAAAAGATTGATTTCTTCAACCTGTTATTTTTAATTACTCCCTCCGTTTGGGAAAACCCTTCCCACTTTGAAAATCAGGCAAATTAAAGAAGTGTAAAATTATAGTTGACTTCCAATTTTACCCCTGATGTGATAGATAAAAGTAAGATGTGATAGATTGATTATTAGAGAAAAAGTATGATGTGATAGGTAGGGTATGAAAAAGTAAGAGTAAAAGTGGTTTTTTAATAGAAAGGAAAAGTGTTTAGTAGGAAATGAAAAAAATGAAAGATCAAGTGTTTTTGAGAATGGAGGAAATATTATTTATGCTAATTGAATTCATGTTAGAGATTGTAATCCACACAATTTGAGTAGGTGTAGTTTTCATGTTGCATAATTTAAAAGTATAAATTTGTTTGAATTTTCTGTATAAACCTAAAAAAGATCATCATTATTGACTTTTAGATAGATCTAAAGAAAAAGGAAGATTGTACCAATAAGAAAAAGAAAAAGTATGATGCGAATAAATTAAAAAGTGGGAGTTTATCACTACCTTGGCCGGCGCCAGCATTGCTCGAAAAGATGGACGCTAGAGCGAATGGGATGCTAAAAGTGACCTGCCCATTCAAATCAACACCAAGTCAATAAAATTTCTTTGCAACTAAAATTGTGTTAAAAAAAAGGCAAATTTAAAATTAATAATGGTAATTCTAGAGTCACAAATTAAATATTCATAAAATTTATAAATATATTTCTTTGGAATCTAATTAAGATTATAAAATATTTTTAATTAATTTAAAAATAAAAATTTATATTCACAAATTAATATTCCCACTCGATTTAAATTAAAAATAATAATTTATTTTAACCGGTAATTAGTCCCTCTAAAGCAAAAAAAGGGTAAAGCTATTTGTACCCCATATTTTGTACCCCACTTTGTACCCCGTAGCTTTGCACCAACACTTTGTATTGGTATAAAACTAATTTTTATTAATGCACCAACATTTTGTGTCTGTGTAAATTTTTGTTAACGCACCAACACTTTTGTCAGTGTAAACCATCAAAATGTTTATGTGTAACTGCGGTGTACAAATGGGGTAACATTTGTGGTGTAAGTGTAGTATAACCCAAAGAAAAAAAAGTAACGGTTTGAAAATATGGTCAGACTTACAGCAAGAGGAATCCCGAGGGCGGAAAAGAGAAGCAGGGCACCGGCTTTGACGCCGGCGGTCGGCGGCAGTACGTGGCCGGCGGCATCGTGTTGCCGTGTATGCTGCGCCATTTTGGTGACCAAGACCGTCATGGCCAAGCAGATCGCCAGTATAAAGTTGACGCAGCCCCAGAGCTTCTTGACGCCGCCGAACCGCCGGGCCACCAGCTCCACTCCGATGGACATGAACCCGAGAACCACCGAGTTGAGGAGGAGACCCAACGCGCCGGCGTGGACTCCCCTGGCGTACAGGCGGTCGCCCACCACTCCGCCGTACACCTCCTTGGCCATCCAGTCGGTGTCGTACAAGAGGAAGGGGAACCACGCAATCCAGTTGAGCGCCGTGACGAGCAACAGAATCCACATCGGCCTCGGGAGGTCCCTCAGGGCGCCGAAGATCTCGCCGAAGAAGGGGACGCCGCCCGCCGCGGCGGCCTTCTCCTTCTCGCCGGCGGGGACTTTGATCTCCCTCTCCTTGACGAAGGTCAGCGCCAGGGTGGTGACGACGAGCAAGAGGGCCACGGAGATGAAGAAACAGCTCTTGAGGTTGGCGCAGTAGACGTCGCAGGCGTCGGTCATGGAGAAGGGGAAGACTTTGTGGAGGCCGGAGAAGGAGCCGGCGGCGTAGCCCAGGACGTTTCCGACGGCCATGAAGAAGGAGAAGAGGGAGTTTGAGGCTCGCATCTTGTCCGCATTACCGCTCGAGAGATCCGCCAGCAGTGCTCTGCATGGACCCTGATCATCAACAACAACCCCATCCCATTAATTCATTGTTTTTAATTACTACCTCCCTTCATAAAAATTTTTCCCAATTCGTCCTGCTTTTTAAGGAAAAGAACATATATTTTGTTATAATATAAATTAGCATCAATAGGTTAATTTTGAAGTAATATAATTTTGAAATATTATATTTTTAAGGTATACTCCGTATGTTTTTTATAAATAAAAATATCAATAATTAAATTATTGAATAATAAGACCGTAAAAAGTTGAATGAAAATTTTTTTAGACAGAAGGAGTAACCATAGTGACTTTTAAATTAAATTGGAAATTGTATTAGAAAAGTAAATAAGTGAAAGAATTGTTTAAGACATGTTGAAAAAGAAAATAAGATGATTAATTCCAGTTGCAAAAATCACTTCCCTATACAAAAAAAAATTGAAAATATACCGGATCCAGACATGATAAATTTAATTAAACTATTTGTCTATTTATAACTAGCACACATATTTTGAGTAAAAATAATTAAATAAATAACACACTTATTTTTAATTGACCATCAAAATTAGTCCAATTTGAATGCAATATATCAAATCCAACAAAGTAAGTACAATATATCTGTATTTATTTTTATACGGACAAGTCCGTATTTATTTTCAAGTGAAAAATATATAATTCAGGTGTACAAAAAAGAAGTACCTGCAACATGTTATTGGCAACGTCGAGGATCCAGAAGCCGACGGCGAAGACGACAACGGATCGGGGCTTAGTGGTTTTCCCGAGGGAGTCGCCGGCGGCGTGGCCAATGTCAGCGGCGAAGCCGATGAGGGAGACGGCGAGAATGACGAGCAGGGCGCCGGAGGCGATGAACGGGCGGCGGCGGCCGAACCGCCAGGTGCAATTGTCGCTGTAGTACCCGACGAGGGGCTGGACGATCATGCCGGAGATGGGGCCGCAGAGCCACATGAAGGAGGCGAATTTGTGCGGGACGCCGAGCAACTGGACGTAGGGGGTGAGCAGNTCGGGGCTTAGTGGTTTTCCCGAGGGAGTCGCCGGCGGCGTGGCCAATGTCAGCGGCGAAGCCGATGAGGGAGACGGCGAGAATGACGAGCAGGGCGCCGGAGGCGATGAACGGGCGGCGGCGGCCGAACCGCCAGGTGCAATTGTCGCTGTAGTACCCGACGAGGGGCTGGACGATCATGCCGGAGATGGGGCCGCAGAGCCACATGAAGGAGGCGAATTTGTGCGGGACGCCGAGCAACTGGACGTAGGGGGTGAGCAGGGAGAGCTGCAAGGCCCACCCGAACTGGACTCCGGCGGCAATCGCCGCCACCAGCACGATCTTCCATATCGGCGTCTGCTCCGCCGCGCCGGACAATGCGTCCACTTGCAAGGAGGAGGGTTTTGTGTTCACGGAGGGCGTCTCCATAGCGGTAATTACAATAGGGAAAGGGGGGTTTATTGGTAATTGTTGTGAATTGAAGAAGTGATGGGGGGAGGCAGGGGAATATATATAGAGAGGGGGCAATGAATGACGGGGGGGAGGGAGGGGGTTAGTTGTTGGGGGCTACGAGACTTATCCACTTGGGGTGGGGGGCGAAACAAGGAAAGGGTGATGACTCGTTGACTCAGGGCTTACGGGTTTTCAAATTGAGACGAAATCATTGGTGTAAAGTGGTGGATCGCTGTAAATTGGAAAATCTTTCATTATTATCGCGGTCATCATAATCTGCCAAATTCAGAATATCTCGGTATATTTATTGCCCTTTTCTCAGCGGTTAAAAAAAATAAATTAAATCTATGGGCCAAATGAGTCAGCTGCGGATATGATTTTGGTCAAATCTAATTTTTCACGAGAAAAGGAGCGCTTTTAGATTAGGACATTTATTACGGAGCATTCATCAAGCAATGCAGGGAGGTTTATGTCTCACGAGGAAACAATATGCTCCCTATATTTTTTTTTATCGTTAATCGAGCAGTTTAATGTTGTTAACAGGAATTGTTGGGTATAATTTTTAAAAATATGGAAGATAAACATTCAAATTATTACCAAAAGGGGGTCACATATTACTTTGTTTTCCAATTACGACTTGAGGTAATCTTTCCTTGATAAAAATGCATACTCCATTCTGTAAGTTCGTGGGGCGCAGCGAATCTTCCTAAAATATCCCTTATCTTCCTTCCCCCTTTCTCGTTTTCCTTTTCCTTTCTCTTGGCAGTGTCTTCTCCACCACACCAGGTATTCTTTCTATCTCTTCTCCTCCCCCTTCCTTTTCTTCTCCAGGTTAACTTCCTCCCCCTTCTTCTTCTTCTTCTTCTTCTTCTTCTTCTTTTCTTACTTAGATCTAGGCTTCATCTCCCCCTCTCTTCTCCCCTTATTTTTCTTATTTTTGTCATTTTCTTCTTCTACCAGAGTTTGGATCTCGTTTATGTTTTTTTAGATCTAGAAAATTTGGAGATCCATTTGTGCGGCAAGAGATTCACCTTGGGTCTAGTTTGCTCAGTAGAGAAAGAGAGAGATCCGTCGATTTGGTGTGGCAGAGTTCCGTCGCTTGGGATTTGTTTGGTGCGGCCATCGATCAGTAGCTGCGGCAGCCCTAGACCAGTTGTTGCGAAGGATTTGGCTTCAGGGGTGTGCAGTAAATGAAAAGCCTAGGGGTATTTTGGACAAATTATAGGCAAAGTCAACTTCCCATAAAAATGACCAAAAGTAAAAATGGGAACTTAAAATTCGGACGGAGGGAGTATATTGATATGATTTCCATATTATTGTTCATTGCCCAAATGTCTAATTTTTATTAATGAGTGAATAATGAATATGCATACCGCAGTGCTAACACACAATATGTTCCTAAAATATTTCTTAATTCAATAATCAAAGGGGTTCTTTTTTTTAATGTTCAAATTAGACAAAAAGTGAAAGAAAAAACAGCATGGTGGGGTGGCTGTAAGGAAAGGGAGCAGAGAGAGATTAGACTAATATTTATTTTCAAAATTTTGCACCACCGACAACAACGCTGTTCTTACCATTATCAACAACACTACCATCACAATCTGTACCATCGTCGCCATAGTGCCACATTAACAGTCAATACGGTGTCAAAGAAAGACATAATAATGTCAAACATGGCACCATGTAATGTCACATATGGCAATATATAATACGATTTTCTCCTATTTCGGGGGTTTTCTTTAAAGTTTACGGGCCTTTCTATACTTTTCAAGTAAGGAATGCTCGGGGTACACCAAATGGTATACCCCATTTGTACACCATTGATTTTAGCCATTGATTTCTTTTTTCATTTTTAAAATTTCAATGATTCTTCTCTAATCTACTAATTCAAAAAAAAAAAAAAAAAATATTAGCAATCTTATAATTCTGAATAAATTATATTAATACATTAGCAAATTCTCATTCAATTCTTTTTCATTTATGTTTGAATAAGAAATCATTCAAGCCCGTGAAAAATTCTTTTTTAATTAATTTGATTAAAGTAGTTGATCACTTAAAAAATAATCTAGACGCCACTTGTTTTATAGAATACGGCGCATTATGTTAGAGATTAAAATATACCAGAGTATTTTTTATTTTATTCATTTTATATTTATATAAATAAAATAAATATTAAGTATCATATCACAGACAAATGTGAAATTTTATTTTAATCAATTAGATTATATAATTTAATTAAATTAAGTATCATATCACAATAGATAATAAAAAACAATATATTTTCATATCTAAATCATAAATCATCTAAAACCTATAAACGATAAATTTTTTAGTAATTAACTAAACTCATAAAATTAAAATAATTAATTACATAATTATGTATAGTAATTTTTTTCTACTTGAACACGATTATAATCAATTATCTCTTGTTTTTTAAAAATGCTTAATATAATTTTTAAAATATATTGTTTGTTTTTTTTATTTTATATCAATATTGAAAGAAATAAATTCAAAACTAATTTCATTTTAACTTATCATATATAGATATTCATATGGAACTTAATTAGAGGTGAAGAGAGTGGCGTATTAATTAACTGAAATTTTTTTATAATAGAAGAAATATAAATACTGAATTATGAAAAAATATTAATATAAAATGAATATCACTATTTCATAATTAAATTTGTTCAAAGATTTCATACCAAAATATTTTTTCATATTTTATGTCGTAAATTAGAAGACATATTAGGTGCATGTAAAAAGCCATATAAGTAATGCACATGTCAACTTTCTAAAGATAAAAGTTTTAATTAATTTTTTTATGCAAAGAATTTATTGAACAATTTTATTCTTAATAATTTAATGATTTTTTTATTTTTAGTAATTTTATTTTTGAGAAAAAGTAAAAGTTTAATCACATGTCAAGTATTATTGAATGAAGTCTAGCTCATACATCAAATGCCACATAAAGGATTGCATTCTTATTTTTTATCGCATGCAACGATTAATTTCCATTCCCTGAAAAAAACTACTCCCTCCGTTTCTTAAAACTCTTCCTCTTTCATTTTTTTTGTTTTTCTTAAAACACTTCCCTTTTCTATTAAAAAACCACTTTTACCCCTACTTTTTCATACCCTATCTATCACATCATACTTTTTAACTAACAACTAAACTATCACATCTTACTTTTACCCATCCCATCAAGGGCAAAATTGGAAAATCAACTACAATTTAACACTTCCTTATTTTCCCCCAAAGTCAAAAGAGGAATTCTTTTGAGAAACGGAGCGAGTATTAATTTCCTTCAATTCTATTTCTCCGTAATAATTACTCTAGACATAGTATGTTCAATATTTTAATATTAAAATTATATACAACCTTTATTCATGAGTATTTTTGCAGTCAATTATTTTAAATTTTTGACCTAAAATTAAATAAAAAAACATTGTATATTAATTAGATATATAATATTTTAAAAACTTTATAAACTGAATCTAATAAAATTATTTTTTATCATTATCTTATATCATTCTTATTTAATTAATGTGCAAAGTTTGTCAATTTTGACCAAAAAAGTAAAAAATGGACAAATACCCATGGACGGGGGAGTATATAATAATTTGATTATTTTCAACAAACTCTTTTTTTGTTTTTTTTAAATTTTTAATTGGGTATTTAACTTTAATTGGTTGGTTAATAAAGTTTTTTAACCTATAATTTCATAAGAAATCACTCTAAATAGGAGAACGTTAAAAAAGTACCAAAATAGGAGCTTCATGTTTTTATCCCCAAAATAAGAGTTCACACGGTGGTAATGTGGCACTCTACATGTACATTTCACAGTATTTTTTGGTAATTAATAAAGCCATGATTGGCACTCTAAATGCATTTTAACCCCTATTTCGGGAACAAAAATATAGAATATCTAAAACCCCAACTCGCATAATCCAAATTTAGGGATTAGGGAACCAAGTTATTACTAAATTGGTATCCACATTCAAAAATTTCCAAATAATTTATAACATTAAATTCAAAGTCCAAACATTTTAAAATAATTTAAACATTTATCGGAGTTAATTCAAATTAGTGCGGAAGCTAAACTATCATTTAATTAAAAACATTCTGAAATTATTAACAGAAAACCATAATAGTAATTTTTCTCTTGGATTCCCGCATCCGTTCATCTCCTCCGTCTCACTGCTCTCCAGAAATCAACTGACCTCAGTTTTATCTGCGTGTAGTCAGAACAAAACAACTGCACATTCAGCTAAGAAATTCAGTGAGAAAATTCTAACATTTTAATATACACATAAGCGAAGCCACTAGTTTACAATTATCACATGACATCATGCACATACATTTAACATCATGTAATTCACATACAGAGTTCATCACACAATTTATCTGGCACATGTGCATTCTTATTCTTATCATACCTGTGCATCCATCGTAATGGTAGATCACCATTAATCTGTACTTATACTCTAACTTAAATTAAGGTGTCTTCCTACTTTTTTTGGAGTCATGATTGTTCCTAATGGATCAGCGGTCATGCTCAAGGATTTCTCCATTAGGTGGATCAACACATAACAATGAAACATAACACATAGTTGTCTAATCTTGGGTGTGAACACCCATACTTTCCGTCATATAACATAAAGGTCTCTGATTCCATCTTGGACATTTAAAAAGGAATCTAACAACCGAGCAAAGCTGCTCAAATGGTAACAGTACCGACGTACTGCTACCCAGTAGCTTAGTCCGCTCAGTACCAACGTCGCAAAACCTTGCTAGGTCGATTTTTCAAGTCGTAACCCAGGGACTTTGATCCTCAGATTTTGCAATTCACACAACTCAAGCAGTAAGAATAAGCATGTCAATACCACATATACATTCAATGGCAATTTAATGTTGAAAAGTGCTCGCACGGATTACAATGGAGAAAAATGAACGATCCGGAAAAAACTAAAATGAAATAAATCTGAATTTATAATTTAATCAAATTAGTATAATAAATAAAAATAAAATAAATAGCTTCAAATCTTCAAGAGCCTTGCTTTACAATACTGAGGAGTTAATGAGCTAGAATGAGGCAGCGAACTGGGACGTGAACATGTAGACAAAATCTGCAAAATAGAACACTGTA